AGTATGTTTTTAAATGTTCATATCTTATATATATTTTTTGTCTTTAGAATTTTCATTTGATTCAGCATTCTTTTTCTTTTTATTATATTCATTATACATTATCCTTTCTCTTTTATGTTCAAGACTTCTCTTATATCCTTGGAATAGTTATCATGCGTGCTAAGTCACTTCAGTCATGTCTGACTCTTTGCGACCCAATGGACTATAGCCCACCAGGCTCCTCTGTCCATGGGATTCTCCAAGCAAGAATACTGGAGTGGGTTGCCATTTCCTTCTCCAGAGGATCTTCCCAACCTAGGGTTTGAACCCACATTTCTTACATATCCTGCATTGGCAGATGGGTTCTTTACCACTAGCACCACCCTTCATGAAGTGAAGCAAAGTGAAAGTCGCTCAGTCATGTCTGACTCATTGCAACCCCATGGACTGTTGTCCAAAGAATTCTCCAGGCGAAAATACTGGAGTGGGTATTTCCCACTCCAGTGGGAAGCCTTTCCCTTCTGCAGGGGATCTTCCCAACCTAGGAATCAAACCCAGATCTCACACATTGCAGGCAGATTCTTTACCAGCTGAGCCACAAGGGGAGCTCTGCTAGTTGCATCATCTATGTCGTTTCTGGGTCTCTTTCTATTGGATGCTTTTTCTCATGGTTAATAGGTCACATGTCTGTTAATGTTTCACTAGGTGCTGGAGGCGGTAAATGCAAAATGGTTGAAACCTTAGAGTTGACCTTCTTTTAAGAAACTTTCATGCTGACAAACAGTTAACTGACTTGGAGGCCAGCCTGGTCTCTGCTTGTTTCAAAACTCTATCAGTCAGATGTAGAGCAGCCTCCACCCCTTCCACCTAAGGTGTAGGCTTACCTCTCCTAAGACATAGCCTTCTTTGATCTCCAGCCAATGCCCTGGGGTCCACGAGGCCTCTTGATCCTGGCAATTGGCTATCAAGTGTTTCTGAGCTTGTGTGGATGCTGGGAGCTGTTCTCTGCCCGGCTCCCAGGATCTCACTCTGCACACAGAACAAAGCATTTGCCCAGACTCAGGCTGGCCCTGGGGGCTTCTCAAGATCCTTTTCTGCACTGCTGCCTTCCCTCTGAGGCTCTGCCTGCAAGTCCCAGTCCCCTCAGCCTCCCTGACCCCATCTCAGCCCGCCTCACTAGCTCAGTGAAGCCACTGTGTTCTGCTTTGTCCTGCCTCTCGGAAGAAAATTGGGCAGGTGTGGGGCTCACCTCACTGGCTCCTACTCCCACCCCCCTGCTCTCTGCCACATGTTGTATGCTCAGTTGCTTCAGTCATGCCCAGCTCTTTGCAACCCTGTGGGCTGTAGCCCGCCAGGCTCCTCTGTCCATGGGATTCTCCAGGGAAGAGTATTGGAGTGGGTTCCTGTGCCCTCCTCCAGGTGATCTTCCCCACCCAGAGATCAAACCAGTGACTCCTTCATCTCCTGCACTGGCAGACAGATTCTTTACCACTGAGCCCTGCTACCTGTTGTCGACAATGACAACAGTTGCTTCTTATTTTTGCCTGGTTTTCTATTGATTACAGTGGGAGCTGCATCATCACAGCTGGAATGTCTGTAATGCTTTGAATTCTCAATTGGAGCAGATAAGTGCATTTTTAAAATGCCTTACCTCTTTGGAAACCTGAAATAGTCCCTAATTATGAGAGGAGGCCTGGGCTTTGCACTCAGATAAGCCTGAGCTCTCCTCTTGGCCGGGTCACTCACTAGCCAGGTGATAAAGTACAGACACTTGACCTCTGGATGAAATGGAGACATTGACACCTTAGGGAGTTTCTGTAAGAATTCTAGAAGGTGATGCAGGAAGCCTGGTACACAGTAGGTGTTTAATAAGAGGTAACAATCATTTGCTACCTTAATAGGAGGCCCAATTGTTAGCTGGGCCACAAGACTGTGTGCTCCCTGAACTGAGCCTCCTGCTCAGCAAGGCCACCCCCATGGGCCAGAGAGGCAGCCAAGCCCTGCCTGCGGCCCCCGCGCCACCACTTTGTCCATCTGTGGACCCCACCCAGCCTGGGCCTCCAATCACCCAGCACAGAAGAGCCTCTGTCCTCAGGCCCACTCACAGCTGCTGTATCACCCAAGGTCAATGAGACCTTTCCCAGCGGCCCGCGGGCTGGGCCGGGCACCCAAGGGGAGGGACTCTGCAGTCAGTGGTGGGTCAGCTGGATGCCAGGCCCAGAAAAGAAAGGAGACCTGCTGTGCCCTATCCTTCAGCCCCCACCTTCCCTGCGGCTAGGGAGGTAAGGGGAGAGCGGGCACTGCCCTTTTTGCCCTCAGCTCCCAGGATGGTCAAACCAAAAGGCCTCCTGGGGGGCTGCTGGCCTCAGGACACTGCCTCTTTGGCCTGCGGCCCTGTAACTGAGCAAAAGTTTGGGAGACTCGAGCAAGACCTCCTGGACACAGAACACCACAGGAAAGGGGCTCCGGCAGACAGAAGGCATCAACTCCTTTGCAGGAAATCCCGAGAGCCATGGGGTTGGTGATCCCAGAGGTTCGGGAAACCCCTCATTTTGTGAGTGCTGGGCAAGCAGGGCATGCAGATGACCCACATCTTACCTTTCAGGGGTGACCACTGGTGTGCAGGTTCTGCCCCCAGGACACTGGCACAAGGAGCTAAGGCCCTGAGCCTGTGACAGCCAGTGGTGCCCCCTCTAAGGTTCTCATGGGGGACAGGGAAGGAGAAGACCCCGGGGCCACACAAGAGCTGCTCTCCCAAGGCATCTTCCTCTCAATTCTCAAGGCTGAAAATGTCCCCGGGCTGGTGAGGCCTGGACATGTGGGGTGAACTCCGTCCAATCCGCGCCGCCCAGTCTCCTCCTGGCCTGCTGAACGGTGCCCTGAGACCAGACACAGAGGCACCCCGACACATAGGAGGGGGTGCAGGCCACCCCCCACCCCGTGGAGCCTGCATGCCAGCGAGAAGACAGAAACAGGTTAGCCAAGCAGGATGCTCGTCAGAGGCAAAGATGAGATGGGAGAGGTCGGTCATCTTCCTGGGCCACCGCAACAAATGACCACAAAACAACAGAGACACATCCTCTCCCAGCTCTGAGCGGGATGTCTGAGATCAAGGTGAAGGCAGTCTCTAGGGCAGGATCCTTCCCGCCTCTTCCAACTTCTCAGCATCCTTTCGACCTGCAGACACATGACTCCAACCTACATCTCCATCCACACCGGGCCCCTCCCTTCTGTCTGAGTGTCCAGCTCTCCTATTCTTACTGGATTCAGGGCCTAATCAGGTAGGCTCCTGTCTCAATCACACCTGCAAAGACCCATTTTTCAAATAGGGGTACATCAGTGCAGCATTCAGCTCTCAGGGCGGGGCACAGCCAGCCTGGAAGCCCGGGGCGGGAAGGAAGCCTGGGAGCCCCCTAAAGGGCCGTCTGCTCTGGGCTGACCTGGCCCCGCACACCCGGGTCCCAGCCACAGGGTGGGAGAGTTCCAGAGACTCACCCCCACCAGCAGATGAGCAGAGGAAGAGGGCTGTGCGGTCAGCCCTGGGCCCTTCTCCCCACGCCAGTCACAGAACCCTCAAGCTGCTTCCTTTCAGCCACCGCCCTGGGCATGGACTCCAGTTTATTTCCTGTGTCATCATCTAATCTCTGTTTTACAGCTGAGACAGCAGAGGCCCAGACAGGCCAAGCCATCTGCTCCTGGTCCCCTGTCCCCAACCACACGCTCAGCCAGCCGGAGGCCAGACTCAGGTGGGAGGATGAACCATGAAGTGACCAAGCCGGGTTCTGAAAGAAGGCTTTAAAGGAAAGCAATCGCATGGGGATCGGGAACCCTCCGGGCCTGGGTCTCCCCACCTGCCAAGACCCTCCAGGACTCCCCCAACCATTCACTGCTGCCTTCTGGGCCTTGTGGTGTAGTACCCAAAATGGCCTCTGGAGGGCAGCACGTGTCCAACTTTCCCAAGAGCTGCCTGGAAGCAGTCTGTCCGCCCAGGTGGCTGCAGGGAGGACTCCGCCCACAGGGGTCAGCCATTAGCCCTCTCCCACTCCCCCCCCCCCACCCCAACACACACAGATGGGAGGAAGCCACAGGCAGTCCCTGAGTGTGCTGAGAGCGGGCTCTGCTATTGCCGCCGTGGGTTGGTGTGAAGCTGGGGTTTTGGGGTGGTGGGTGACACAGGGCAGGTAATGGAGCGGGGGAGGTGCGGGCCCTGCCTGGTGGACGGGCAGGTCAGTCCAAGCGCTGTCCCAGCACACCTCTCCCAACCCCCCGCACCTCCTGCAGCACCAGGGAGCCGGATTCCTGAAACTCCCTCTAAGGGGCTGTTGCAGCCTCTGCCCAGGGGACCCACCTTGAACAAGGCCTGGAAAGGTTGGGCTTGGAATCCAGACTGAGCTTGGTGCAGGCTAAAAAGGCCTGACTGTCCAGGCTTCGGCGACCTGATCAGTCAGGCGGGGATGATGCAAATGAATGCCGCGAAGGGCAACGGAGTGCTCTGAACACTCCAGGGTCGCCCTCTGACCGCCAAGAATCCAGAAGGCGGGGTCATTTCTGCAGCAGGGGAGGCCTTGGAAACCTTCGATTCCCCACAGAGCTGGTCAGCTTCCAGGAGGGCTTCCTGGAGGAGTGGGCAGCACAGGCGGGCCAGTAAGAAGAAATTCAGGGTCCCACTGGGGGAAGCCGCGTAGCCCCGGTCTCACCCAGGCAGATGAAGCCCAGCCCGAGGGAGTGGGCGTGGGGGCGCGGCGTTGGCCTCTGGCAGGAGACTCCAGACTGGACTCAGAGGCGCGAGCCCGCTCGGCTGCGAGTCACGTGGGCTCCAGCCGGCCAGGTGGGGACAGTGACGCAGGCAGCGTGGCCAGGTACCTGGGGCGCACCCCGCCGGCCCCTCCCACCGCCGGCACTCGGAGCCGGAGCCGCCGGGCGCGCGCCCTGCTCCACCTGGCCACCCACCTGGCGGGGCCGGAGGGCCGCCGCCTCCCGCTGGGCCGCACAGGAAGTGTGGGGGCGGGGACAGGGAGGGACCGAGCGGCCGGACGGAGCGCGGGGCCGGGAACTGCCGCCCGCTGGGGCGCGGAGCCTGGAGGCTGGACAGGCTGACGCGCTCGTAGCTCCGTCCTCCGCCCTGCAGCGCAGGTAAGCCTGGGGGACAGGTGAGAGGGGGAAACAAGTGAGCCTGGGAGTCAGGTGAGCCGGGGAAGGGACGGGTGAGCGAGGTGGAGACGGGGGGTGAGCCTTGGGGAGGGGGCTGACCACTTTCCTCTCCTTCTCTTCTTCGGAAAGCCCCGCCCCAGGGGCCGCGACACTTTGCGGCTCCCTCCCTCCGCAGTGGCTGCCCAGCGAAGGCGGCGGGAGGGGACAAAGCCTGGCTGGACCTAGAGCCCCTGACCCCACTCCCGGGCTTCAAGCGTCCCAGCTGCCCGCTCCCTTTTCTCCTCCAAGCCCTAGGGGACACTCCTCACCGTGGAGGGGAACTCTGCAGCCCACTGGGGCATCAGGGCTGAGAGATCCGTAGGAAGCCCCTGGGACCTTTGAAAGCGGGTGGAGGGAGGGAGAAAACGACCCTCCCAACAACTCTGGAGAATCTGTTGCCCAAACCCACTTTGGTACCAAGTGTAGCAGCCCCAAGAATGAGGACCCCTCCCCACCCTGGTGGGTAGACGGAGGGGACCTGCTCATTCTTGGCTAAGGAGGGTGAGCTTAGGCTCCTGAAGCTGTGGTTGCCACTGATTCCAAGACCCCTGTCCTAGCTGCCCAACCTCTGTTTCTGCATCCCGGAAACAAGGATCTGTTTTGAGATTCAACTGGACCTCAGCTCAGCAGGGACCACGCTGGTGGTGGGGGTAACTCCGCATCCAACCTGGGGCTAAACAGTCTGCACCTCTTGGTGTGGGGGCTCAGGGGGTGCTGGTCAGGCCAACCTGTCTACCCTGCACCCCCAGTGACTAGTGCTTGGACGTGAGGGCCCCGGGTCCAAATACTGGCTCAGTGTGACCTAAGTTACTTAAGTCCTCTGGCCTCAGTTTCCTGTCTGTGAAAGGGAAGCAGTTAGGTGCTGACTCAGCTGAAGCTGGCTCCTTTTTTGGTCGCTGCCCTGATGATGCCCACAGGCTGTAGAAGCCGGCATCACATCTTGAGCACTACCCAGGGTTTCCCCGGGTATTCCCTGGCACTTGCAGGGGGGAGTGGTAAGCTGGCAGAGGCCCCTCCCCCACCCTCTCTTACCTGGGCACCTAGGAGGGAGGAACATGTGGGGAATGGAAGCATGCCAGTTCCCCAAGGGCTCTGATTCCCCGGGAGGTTAAGGGGGGGGCGGGAGATTGTCTCTGACCCTACACGGAGATTCTCTTCACCTACACGGGAGGAAACCAGGTGCAGAGGTGAGGTGGCGAGACGTGGCTTGCCCCTGAGACGCCTGTCTGTGCGTGACCCATTAGGCATGGCACTCCCCACGCCTGGGTCCTGGAATTTTAGTTTCAGTTTCTGAATGGATCTCAGCTGCTTGTCTCCTTTGCCTGAGCCAGTTGCCTTGCCCAAAGCCTCTGACCACCTGTATCAGCGTCTTTATTTCCAGGGAGAGTCGCTGCTCACCCAGGTGTCCCATTGGGGCAGCGAGGATCTAGGTCACGACGGGGCCTGGCTCCTCGCCCAGCTCTCCGTTGACTGTCAGCCTGACCCCAGCAGGTCACATTCCCTCTGCACCTGGTTTCCTTGCCTGGCAGAGCAGGGAAATATCCACCTTCCAGAAGATCAGTGAGGGGCAAGACACACGGGTCGTGAAAGTGTTTGGAGGATGCCCGAAGTCACCTGTCCAGGCTGTCTGTCCAAGTCAGGGCTCTGATTTCTTATCCGGGGCTCCTCAGGGGAAACAGCATCTGCAAGCCTGGCACAGTGACCAGGTTTTCAGGGTGGCTGTATTGAGAGACAGGATGGGAGCCATTGGCCAGCTGAGCCAGGAGGGTGGTTTCCGTGATAACCTGCAGTGCCCGGAGGTGTCATAGGTGCACGAGGCCCACCAACCCCCTCCGGCTGCCAGGTCAAGTGCGGCCAGGAGGGTCTCCCAACCCCCATGGAGGCGGGTGAATCTCCAGTTAGCTGAGACAAGGTTTCTCCGCCTCATCACTGCAGACAGTTTTTCCAGATGATTCCTTGTCATAGGTGGTCCTGTGCCTTGTAGGGTATTGAGCAGTGTCCCTGGGGCGCTACCTGCAGGAGCCTCCAGCTGTCCCAGCCACCTTGCAGACACAACTGTGTGCTGTGTGATTTATGAAGCCCAGTCCTGCCCCGGATTCTGTGTGACTCCCAGTCTCCAACCTGGCCAGGCAGAATTACCTGAGCACGAGGCCATCATGGTGGGTCAAGTTTACCTGAGCAAAGACAGGGTCATGTGAACGGTGCCAGGGAGGCCAAGCCCCCCCCAGGCAGGGTCTTATCAGCCGGACCTAGAGGAACAGATGCCCCATGGATGGAGGTGCCGTGGTGACCTCACCCGAGGGGTGGCAGGTCCCATAATCGGTGCCGTGTGGATCCTGGTGACTGTGAGAGCTCGGTGATCAGAGCCTCAGGCCAGGCAGGAAGGCTGTGCTTCTTCAGGGCGGCCCACGGGATGGTGCTAAGCCTCCTGGGGTCCAAGAAGCCCATCTTTTGGGAAGAACGTAGGCTCCGGGGGTGCTGGGCTGCAAGGGCCCCTGGGCCAGGCCAGCCTGAAAGGCAGAGTCAGGTCAGGGCCAAGTGCAGCTTAGGACTGGACAGGCTGAGTCGGGTCACCTGAGGCTGCTGGAGATGTCCCCACCTCCACCTTCAGCACCCCAGCAGCCCTCCGACCGACCGAGCCCCATGTGCCCCTTACCCAGCTCTGCATGTGAACTGGGGACACAGGGAGGCTGTGAAGTGAAAGTATTAGTCACTCAGTCGTGTCCAACTCTTTGCAACCCCATGGACTGTAGCCTGCCAGGCTCCTCTGTCCATGGGATTCCCCAGGCAAGAATACTAGAGTGGGTTGCCATTTCCTTCTCCAGGGGATCTTCCCAACCCAGGTTTCGAACCCAGGTCTCCTGCACTGCAGGCAGATTCTTTACGGTCTGAGCCACCAGGGAAGGCCCTTACCCATCCACCCCTGCACATGTGCCGGGGACACTCAGAGGCTGCTAAAGTGGCACAGGGGAAGCTACTGCTATGGTTCCCAGGACCCAGCTGTGGGGGCCTCCCCAACCCCCCTCTGAGTTGAAGCCAGCAGAGCGTCACCCGGGAGGGGGCACAGGTGGGTCTGGAGCCTCTGATGGTGCTGCCCTGGTAGATTCTGCTTGCTTGAAGCAAAGTACCAAGCAGGCTAGTTCTCCGCCCAGCTCACCAGGACCTCTTCAGGGAGACAGGATCCCAGGAGAGAAACAGGACAGGTGCCCAAGATACTAGCATTCACGTGTCAGCTTGGGAATTAAGCCCAGCTGTTTGTGGGGATGTGGACAGGAAGTCATCCCTGCTCTGAAGGATGCACAGACTCCTCAGGGGGACAGAGGGACAGATGGACCACACACAGCCCTTGTCACCATGGACAATGGTTGGGGAGCTTTCCAGGGCTGCCTTTGCTGGGGAGCAGACTTGCCTCTGTGGCTTGAGTGGTCACTGCAGGATGTCTGGCCTCTCTCAGTGATATCATTGCCCAGAGAACATGGTGGGCCTTGAGTCTGTGCTCTGGGCCCTCCCCTGTGCTGGCTGCAGGACACCAGGCAAAGGCCAGTATCCACTGAGATTGATGAAAGAGAGGCTTTTGGAGCCAGTTGATTGGAGAAGTCCCCAGATACAGTCCCAGTATGGAATCCCAAAGAGCCTGCCAGGCAGAAGTGTGTGCTTGTGTATATGTGCTCCTGTGTGTGTGCGCACAGGGCACACAGGTCTCCCACCAGCACATGCCTGACTCCTGAATGGAAGCCAGTGGGGATGTTGAAACAGCATGTGGAATCCTTGAAACAAGAACAGACTTCTCTGCATCAAGAGCAGGAGAGAACTCTTAGTGGGACAAGAGTTCAAAACAAACGTTTGGTGGAAGGCAGGAATCTCCCACAAAGGAGGACGAAAGGCAAAGGAGAGAAGAGGTCTGAAATGAGGAGAAGGTCTCAGCAACAGCTATTCCAGAAAGAGACCAAAGCATCAGAGGTGGGAGAAATGATCAAAAAAGTAGCACCAGAAAAGGTGCGGACCTAAAAGGACGCGTGAGCCCATGGCTCCGGGAGTGAATGCATATCCATGGCTGCGTCCATCCTTTGAGCAGTAAAGCAAGGGCCCCATACCCTCAGTGACCAGGGCTGGGGAGCCTCCGGTCATGGCAAGGAGATGAGGTCAGACCAGCGTCGGTGTCTCATCGGCAGTGGAAGCTGGAAGCCAAGGGAAGAAGGCTTCTCCATTCCTGAATAAAATCATCTCCAGTGGGACTCTCCAGGCACAAAGACGACATTTTCAAAGGTCTCCTCCCATGACCCTGCCTTGGGAAGGTGCCAGCGGGTGGGCCATAGCTCAGTGGGGAGGGAGGGAGGAAAGGGGAGGACCAGGCTGCAGGGTGGGGGCCAGGGTGCCAGCTCCTGCCCTGAAAGCAGGCAAGGGACGGCCTAACAAGGGAGGTCTGATGCCTGGACCCTGTGAGCACACCATCCAGATGCCTGGGGCAGGGGCACTGGAATGCAGAGGAAAATTAACAGGAGGGAAACCAGCCAGTAAACAAGAGGGAATTATTAATGGGAGGGAGGCTGGGCGGGCTGGGCTAAGACAAACACCCACAGGGTATGGCCGAGCTGGGCTGGAGCCTTGTCCGCTGGGCTGGAGACAGTGGGTGATGCCCGCAGGTAGGAGATGGAGTAACCTAGCTGAGCCTTGTCTAAAATCGGGAGAAAGCTGAGAATCTGAGAATGGTGCTTTGTGGCAGGCAGGGTAGGGGTGGGGCATGAGGAGAGGACGCCTGTATAGGAGGATCAGCCTCTGGGTGCTGTTGGACTTTTGAACCTACGCCCAGGTACCTCTGATCAGCTCAACCGGGAGAGGAAGAAGACGGGCCCTGTGACGGCTGCAGCCCCAGGAGCCAGCTCCAGCCGGGCCCAGGCTCTGGGGCTCGTGCAGGGCAGGGATAGCAGCCCACACGCCTGGCACAGTGCCCCCCTCCTTCAGGCCTGAGTTCCGGGCCGGTGGCACCCCAGGCCTGTGGGTGCGGCCACCATGATTGGAACCCAGGTCACACCCAGCAGGGGCTGGCCTGACCGGCTCCATCTGGTACCTTCCAGCTCCAGAAGAGACTTTGTCCTCTCCTGGGAGAGGCCGTGCCACTGGCCAGGTCTGGGCTGGGGCTTCAAGGAGGGGTCAGGCTTGGAGCCCTAGATGGGGAGGAGTCGGGGAAGAAGGAAGAATGAGGGGCAGGGCGGGGAGTCCATGGGCACAGCAGTGTTGGTGCAGGCCTCTCAGTGCCCGCAGCGAGTTTTTATAACAGTGTAGCTGCCCTGCAATAAATACACCATGGCTAGAAAAAAGGACTCAGGGTCTCTCCCGGACACCCACTTGGGTGCATCTGCTTCGTGTGTGTGTGTGTGTACACATGTTCACATGCGTGTGTGCTCAGTTATGTCCAACTCTGTGATCCCACAGACTGTAGCCTGCCTGGCTCCTCTGTCCATGGAATTTTCTAGGCAAGAATACGGGCGTGTGTTGCCATTTCCTAGTCTAATCTGCTTCATGTGCATAGATGGAAACCTGCCGGAAACCCGTTTCTCAACCCGTCCTGGGTACTGTGCAGCCAGGTTAACAGGGGAGGCGGGCGGGGGGAGGTATGGACCCGCCCACGGCTGCCGGGCCTGCGGAGGCCTAGGGTGGCTGCCCTCCTCAGCCTGGTGACTCAGAATGTCCCCAGGAATGCGTGGGCCGTCGCCCTGCTGTGGGGGTGGCCAGGGCTCCAGGGCCAGCCGCTCCCTGCGGGCATGGAAGCCTGAGCCGCACACGCCTTCCTGGGATGGTTTTAGTGGAGAACCTGTGAGCCGGGACAGAGAGCGGGGTGGAGAGCCAGGCCTCCGAGGGCGGGGGTCCAGTCGTTCCAGCTGCCCCTGTAGGTGAGAGAGGGCAGGACGCGCTCTCCCTCCCTCCCACAGAGATGCTGGGTGAACCCCAGGGTCCTCCCCAGACCTGCAGGGAAAGTGGAATAGGGCACTGTGGTGAAGCTCTGAGCCAAGGCTCCCTGCCAACAGGGCCACCTGGGCCGGTGACCTGGAGCCTTAGTTCTCCATCTGAAACACAGGCTCCCACCCTTGACTGGCCTTTGTAACTTGAACGTTCAGAAGTTCTACATACATTAATATGAGAAGTGGATGAATGGTGGCTATCTTTGTTTCCCTTAAAAGTAAACTGGAAAGAATGAAAGGAGCACGTTCCCTCCCTGTTACCTTCTGATCCTGTGAGGTTCTAAACCACCAGCTGATCCTCTTGAGGCTCATAGACGACCTTCTCTTCAGCACTAGTGACCCCCTGCCCCCAGCTGCTTGGTGGCCAGGCCCATATTCAAGCACTACATGTACAAGCTCCCTGCCCCTCCCAGCAACGTCAGGATTGTGGGGTGGGGGGTGATTACTATTGGGCCCACTTTGTAGATTTTGAAACTGAGGCATAGGGAGCAACAGAAGGAAGTGACTGGCAATGGGAGAGAAGATCCTCAGGGTGGATTGGTCAGCGGCCTGAGGCTGGTGCCCGAGAGGCCCAGGGTGTGGCAGATGGCATGGACCATCCACACTGGCTAAATGATGTGCTCCCAGCCAGCGTGAGCCAGTCTGTGCTGCAGCAGCAAGTAGCTCCATCAAGTGCTTAGAAACACGGTCTGTGGGGCCCTGCTCACCCCAGGCCCATGGGGCTCCATCCCCACGAACATGCCCGCCGTCCTCTCTGCAGGGGAAGGCATGGCGGGATTCTTGTGGCGGTTTCTGAAGTTTCTGCCAGGAGGGACATACATCCTTCTGCTCAGGCCTGGCCATGCTGGGAGGAGGGAAGCGGGTGTACTGGTGGACAGACGGGACAGAGGGCTGCCTGTTGGTGAGGGGCGGTGGCTGCCAGGCCAGCCAAGGGCTGGAGGATGGGGGGGGTGAGGACAGAGAGGATGAAAGGGCCAAGGTGAGGCAGGCTGCTGGGAGGGACAGGCTGGACCATCCGAGGGGATGCGGGCAGAGCCAGCTGTCCTCGGAGACACCCAACACAGGCCACAGCAGTGCCCAGGGAGCAGCAGTGTGTGCTGGGGCTGCGGGCTTGGGGTCAGAGCTCTGCAAATGTCCCCTCCCTTCTGGGTTCCCGTGCACACCGTGACTGCCTGGCAAGACTCTGGAGATGGATTGTCGGCCCTGTTCTAAGTTCAGAAGCCTGGGAAAGGGCGAGTGTGTCTCGAGGCCCAGGGTAACGCTGTGTAGACAACGGCCACAGTGGCTTCGCTGTGTGTAGGGCTGAGAGTCGGGGAAAGGCCGTGTAGACGACGGCCATGGTGGTATCGCTGCATGTGGGGCTGAGACAGGGAAAGGCTGTGTAGACAACGGACACAGTGGCTTTGCTGTGCATGGGGCTGAGAGTCAGGGAAAGGCTGTATAGATGGTGGCCACAATGATTTCGCTGTGTATGGGGCTGAGATTTGGGGAAAGGCCGTGTAGACAACAAACACGGTGGCTTCTCTGGGTGTGGGGCTGAGAGTCAGGGAAATGCCATGTAGATGACGGCCACGGTGGCTTCACTGTGTGTGAGGTGGAGAGTCAGGGCAGTCAGACAGGCCTGAGTTCAGATCCTGGATCTGTCGCTTCCTGCCCTGTGTCCCGGGTGGGACTGGCCCCGGCCTCTCTGCCCAGTGAGAATGGAGACATGGTGCCCCTCAGGCTGGATGAGACATCACACCTACACCGGCCCCTCAGAGCCTGGCCTCGAGTACCCCAGGGGGTGCAGCCGCGCTGTCTGCTGCAGGCCTTGGAAAAGCCCAGCAGGCAGAACTGTTGATCATTCTCTTGTTGGCTGTGGGAAATGGTGCCAGGAGGCCAAGTGGCTCTTCCAGTCCAGATCTTTGGGGTCCCAGGCCACACACCTGCACTGCTGCAAGCTTACCCCACAGCAGAGGGAGCACAGAGGCATCGCCAGGCCAGCCTCTCTGCAGTCTGCGTCTGCCTGGTCCCCAAAGCTCAGACAGCCTGTCGTCCACCTGGGTCCCTGAAGGTCTGTGCTATACCAAGCTCCCCCAAGTGCCTCTGGCCAGCTGTGTACTGACTTCCCTAGGGACTCCCGGAGACTGTGGGCAATGTAACAGCCAGCTCGGCTTCAGGTGGCAAGACCAGCCTTTGAGCACCGGATCCTGGTTGACTGTACCCCGGGCTCCGGCTGGATCGGGGCTGCCCTCAACTCCATCCTTTCCCCCAGGGTCCCGCGGCCATTCAGCATGTCCCAGCGGTACTCGGACAGCTCTGTGGAGGAGAAGCTCCTGGAATACCGCTTCCACTCGGAGCTGCGGCTAGATGCCAAGGGGAACCCAGCATCTGGGCTCCCAGTGGTCCGCGGCTCCCCGCACAGCAGGAGCAATGCCGCCTTCCAGCCAGACACCCCAATGCCCCCGGAACTGGCCCCCGAGTCCCAGGAGCCCAGAACCGTCATCCTGAGCACGCAGAGCCCAGCAGCCCTGAAGATGGGCACACAGCAGCTCATACCTCGGAGCCTGGCCGTGTCCAGCAAGGCTAAGACCCCGGCCCGCCACCAGAGCTTCGGGGCAGCCATGCTCAGCAAGGAGGCTGCCCGGCGGAACCCCCAGCTCCTCTCTGCCCCCAGCTTCTCCCTGGATGACATGGACTTGGACATGGGTCCTGGGGGGATGCTGAAACGAAACCTGAGGAACCAGTCCTACCGGGCAGCCATGAAGGGCCTGGGGACTCCAGGCGGCGAAGGGGGCCCTGTCCAGCTCACCCCCAAGCTCCAGGCTCTGGCTGAGGAGCCTAGCCAGCCTCCTGCTCGACCTGCAGCCAAAAATAAGGTAGGAGCCCTGTCTCTCTGGTCAGTGGTTGGGGGGAGGTGGGAGGGGTTCTGACCACATCTTCACATCATCATGCATGTGACCACTTGCACAGGCTCCTGGGGGAGTTCATTCCTGTTAGCCCAATAGCCGCTCTGTGAACAGAGCGTGAATGTCCCCATTTTATAGATGAGGCAGCGGAGGCTTCAGTCAGGAAGTTGAAGGCATCCCGGCTCTCAGCCACAGCGGGGAGCAGTGTGTGAGGCGGGTGCTCTGAGCCCCAGGAGGGAGCCAGCCTGTCTGGAGGACAGGTTTCAGTGGTGGCTTTGCTGCATCAACTGGCCTGGGCTCTGTCTGCCCAGGGCTTCCCATCGGGGACTCAGGGGGGCTGATGACAGGTCCAAAGTTGGACGCTCTGCTGCACGCTGTCCCTTGCTGCCCTGCCTGACAGCCGACTCAGGGCTCTCTGTGCCCAGGGTGCCATCCTGGTCACCTCCTCCACCATGGGCTCCTTCCCAGACCATGAGCGCTGGCCCTGATCTGGGAGAAGCCCAGACCACCTCCTGGTGACGCCGCAAGCAGAGGGGAGGGGAGGACCTGAGCCATTGTCCTCAGGCTAGAGACACCCCTGGTGGGAGAGGCACCCCTGTCGTGCCTGCCTGAGAGCCTGGACCACAACTCTCCACACCCGCCCTGGGCCAGGCCTGCGGGGTCCTCATCATTAACGCTGGCTTTGTGCCTCCAGCCGACACTTCTGAGCCCTCAGCCACCGGGTTGACAGGCCCTGGGAAAGCTCCTGGGATGGTGGGGCACAGGGTGTTATGGGGTCACCGTGTGCTGGGCTCAGGCTGCTGAGAGAGCACAGAGGAGGGGGTCCCCAGGAGCTCAGGGCCCTGGGGGGGGGGGCCCCAGAAGAAAAAGGATTAAAGCAGAACCGTGGACACGGGGGGAGGGGGTAGGTGGAAGAGGGGTCAAGGCAACAACAGGCACCCAGACCTGGAGGCGGAAGGGATAGGGGTGCTGGGCAGGGGTGGATGCTGGGTGGGGGGTGGGGTGAAGGGTAGCAGGGGCAGCAGCCAAGTGTGCTGGGAGCACCATGGCCCTAACCAGCATGGGGACTTTCAGGCCCCAACTTGTTTAAAGAAACCATCTTCTTTCCTGGAACCCACAGACCTGCGAGGTCAGGGGAAAAGGATCCTGGACAAGGAGGCAGGCTCAGAGCAGCAGCTGGAGGGTTCAGGGTGTGGGGCCCTGAGAGCCCTGCCCATCCCCAGTCATCCCTGCAGACCCATACCCCATCAGCTGCAGGGACCCCAGCCTGTGCTGGGACTGGATGCTCACCTGCCAGCCCTGCTCCTCCTGCCTCCCGAGGTCCCAGACCTGGGGGGCATGCATGCAGCCCCAGCTTCCCACCCAGCACCCCTCATGGTCATCTCCCAGCCACAGCTGTACTGCCCAGCCTCCCTCCAGGCCTGGTCGTGACGCCCCACTTTCATGGGCATCCCCCGTGTCTACACACCTCCACCTCCAGGCAGCCCTCCTGGACCTGCCCAGCCCTCAGTAACCTGCCCTGCCCACTCTGAGCCCCCGTCCCATACTGTCCTACCTGCCCTGGCCTCTGCTTGGTGGCCCCACATCCCTTGTGGAGCCGACATTTATTGCACACCTTCTGCATGCCCAGCAGAGCACCTCCCATTGGGTCTGATGTCATGCTTGGAGCATGCAGTGGTCTCTGGGCTGGGGGAAGGGAAAGCTGTGACCCCTGCCCACCCTGCCTCCCACTGACCACCTGTGTGTCTCTCTGCACAGAAGGCGCTGGGGCGGAAACGTGCCCAGAAGGGCTCCTTCAAAGATGGTGAGTGCGGCCGAGGGGCCCCCTCGGACAGCAGCAGCCAGACTGGGCCAGGGGCTGGTCTCACTGGGGCATCCAGGAGAGGTGGTGAATGTCTTGGGTGGGATCCCTGCAGGGCCTGGTGGTCCATCTGGCCCTGCAGCTCTGATAAGCCTGGAAAGTTCCCTTGGACCCTGCCGTGCCAGTGGTGGGGCAAGGGCAGACAGGCCCCATGCTCACTCGCAGGAGCTGTCTGTCATGCACACTGTGTGCACCAGGCCCTGCCAGTGAGACCAAGGCCTGGGCAGTAGTCACACCATCCATGGGACCCCAGTGTTGGAGGCTCGGGGCCATGAGTGATGGCTGGGCGTGGCAGGGCCCAGAGCAGGGCATTCACCCTGGGTGGGCTGCCTCCAGGACCCCCTGGGAGTTGGAGGGGTAGGTGCCCTCCCAACCAGGATGGAGCCACTGGGGGGTATGAGAGGCTCCAGCTGGACAGGCCTCTCCTTGAGCCCCAGCCTCTGTGGACAGCACAGGCCCGGGCTTGGGGAGGTGTCAGGATCAGACCCCAGGAGAGCAGCAGCAATGCCGCAGGTCTCGGGGCCGTTTGGAAGGAAGAGGCTTGTCCCAGTTGCCACTAGCTAGGCACCTGCCCAGTGGGGCTGCCGTGTGCGGCCACTGCAGAGCACCTCGGTCCCCGCATCCCCCAGGCTATGCAGTTTGGCCCCTGCCACTCTCCAATTTGTCCGCTTAGCCCTGGTCCAAAGGTGCCACATTTGGCATAGGGACACCCTGGGCTCCCAGCACCGCCATGCTAACCAGCTGGCCCAAGAGGAGCCCACTCTGGGGCGCCCTGCACCACCTGACGCTCTCAGGGCCTCCTCCGGGGGACTCGACCTGCGGGTCCCTGGGGGGGCCAGACCGTTCAGAGCCCCCAGGCCTACAGATGACACGCCCCCTATCCCCAGACCCCCGGTTGTACCAGGAAATCCGGGAGCGAGGCCTGAACACCAGCCACGAATCTGACGATGACTTACTCGATGAGCCCCCAAGCCCCGAGGGAACCCGGAAAGTGGACGCCCCCATCGTGGTCAAGAGCTACCGGCCCCCCCAGATCACCTGGAGCCAGCTCCCAGAGGTAGGGGCTGCAATGGCGGGGAGAGGCTATGGGTGGTCCTCCCAGTGAGCGGGGAGCCGCCTAGAAGCACCCTGTCTGTGCTCACTTTTCCGGGGCATCTTGCTGATGCCTCAGAGCTGGCCTGCCCCACAGGGCACCTTTGAGGGGTTACTGGGGGAGAGGTTAGAGGCAGCTGTCATCTGTGTGTGTGTGACAGGCATCCCACAGGTGAGTTTTAATGCCCTCTGCTCCCGGCTCATGCTGATCCGTAGGGAGCTGTGGGCATGGCGCACCCCTTCCCAGGGCACTGACCCTGAAATGTGCCTGGAGGGTCCGAGTGAGGAGGCAGGAAGGGAGGGGAGAGGCCAGACTGAAGCCACGTGCCACTACCAGGCCCACCGCCACCTTCCACATCTGAAAACAGAGTTGGTCCCCTCCAAGCAGGGCAGTGGGGTCTCTGTGGAGAGTGTAGCTGAGACAGAGGCCCCCAAGCTCTAAGTGGAGAGGCAACTCTCGCTCCCCAGGAAGGTGCAGCTGGCCCGGGGCACACAGGCTGCTTCCCCATCCCCTGGGAGCCAAGGAACAGCTACAGGGCAGGCTGTGGGCGTGGTGGGCAGTGGGGTGAGGGCCCCTGGCTGTCCCTTCTGTCTGTGGTACGAAAAGGCTGCTCATCCACACCCGCGGGGCACAAGAGGGGCTGAGGCACCCCGACCACCTACTGAGCTCCACGACACTGCCTGCCGTGGGGTCACCAGCCAGGGAGGGCCCAGGAGGGGCGGGATGAGGGCAGACAGCTGAAAAGGGCTAGAAATACACATGTGTTCCCACCTGCCTGGGTCCAGCTGCCTACATGGACATGACCTCCGGGGTCAGAGGTGGGTCAGGATGCTGCACCTTAGAAGGGCGTCTGAGGTTCTGCTCTTGGTAACCTGAGCTTGGGGCGTCTCAACCCAGCCTCTGGGCCGAGGAGGGAGCTTGGGACTTACCTTCCCAGCCCAAGCGCTGGTGGCAGCCTCTGTCCAGGCTGGTAGGGAGGGAAGAAGGATCCAGTGGCCCTAGTCTTGTAGTGGGCTCCCCCGATGGTCTGCAGGGATGTGGCCTGATTGAGCAGGCCACACTCTAGCCAGGGCAGCTGGGGGCCAGGGGGCCTGACGGGTAGAGAGGGGGTCAGTGCGCCTTGCTGGAACACTGTTAACCCTACCTCCTGGGCAGGGTGCTGACTCACCTGGCCCAGGTGTGCCTGAGTCATGGCCCTGCACCCCGCATGCCCCTCAGCTTTCCCGGGGCTCTTTGCCTCTCCACCGCCACCACCTCCCACCTGCCACCCCAGGCAGCTCTGTAGGATAGGGCCCCCATCCGCCTCGGGTGCCTACTGGCCTTTCCCTCTGGATACCCATGCTCTCTCTCGGCTGCCCTGGGCACTTCCCAGGGGAGGTTTCCACGGCGAGGAGAGACGTGGATGATGGGACTGAGGCGGGACAAGCCAGCTCAGCGGCCCCACTGTGCTGAGCCATGAGGGGCAGCTCTGCCATCCACGCTGGCTCTAGTCCCACGAGAAGATGAGCATCTGGAAGGTACATCCCGTGATTCAAGCCTTGCTCTCCGCAGGTGGTGGAGTTGGGCATCCTGGAGCAGCTTCCGGCTGAGGAGCGCAAGAGGCAGGAGGTACGGGGTAGGCAGGGGCGCCTGCTTCCGACAACCCAGACAGAGGCAGGGACAGCAGTCATGGTGAAGTCACCCGCTCACTCATTGCCCGCCTCCTGGTACCAATGATAGCTGATGCCCTGGGTATGGTTAGAGTTGGGAGTGACTACCATTACCCACTTCCCACATGAGGGTGGGAGTCCTTGCCAGAGTGCAAACCCAGGAGAGCGGCTCACCACCCGCCTCCACCACAGCTGTGCTGACAGTCCCAGCCAGGTCCTGTCCAGGGTGCCCAAGTCCTGCGCCCCCATCATATCCCCACAGCCTGAGCACTTGTCACCACCACACCCTGAGCCAGGCCCCCTGTGTGGCGGGGTGGCTGCGGGCAGGGCCAGGGGGCACAGCTGCCCCACATCCGCTCTGCTCTCACCCCAGGCCATCTTCGAGATCCTCACGTCCGAGTTCTCATACCAGCACAGCCTCGGCATCCTGGTGGCCGAGTTCCTGCAGTCCCGGGAGCTGCGGGCAACCATGACCCAGACGGAGCACCACCACCTCTTCTCTAACATCACAGACGTCCTGAGCGCCAGCCGGAGGTGAGGCCCAGCCCGGAACCCCGACAGTGGCCCAGGCTCTCAGGGGGGGTGGGAAGGCCAGGGCTCTGAGTGACCCTGGTCTGCAGTGTGGATGGACGGTCTGGAACTACCTTGCGAGGGCAAGAAGCACAAGGACCGCAAGGGCCCTGCGGCCACCAGGAGCTGGCCCCAGGGCACACGGACGCAGAAAGTCAGTGACGAGGCGTGAGGTGCCTGCAGAGCGGAGCGGGCGGGGGCAGCCTCGAGTTGCAGGCCCAGGTCATATTCCACAAGGAGGCGTCTGGGGCCCGGCCCAGGGCTCTGGTTGCAGGGCCAGGAGGTGGAGGAGGAGCCGGGTGTGCAGCTGCAGGCCTGGGCCTGTGTGTGTGTGTGTGTGTGTATGTGTTTACTTCCGTGGAGGGTGAGGTCAAGTCAGCACCCATGTGGTCTGACCCCACGCTGCCCTGCATCCTAGGCAACCCCATCACACCCTCTGCTGAGCTTGGCATCCTCTCCCTAACCTAAGGGGGAAGTTACTCAGTCTGCCTACCCCCTTGCAGATTGGGGTGAAGTGTGAGAAATGATCAGGTGTTGGACCCCCCTCACTGAGTACCCCCAGTCTGCTGTCCCAGGGCTCCCACGGAACCCAGGGCCATCTGGCTTCTGGGATGGCACTTCCCACAGGACTCCAGTGACTGGCTGTGGGAAGTCTGAAGCCCCTGACTCAGCGGGGGCCTGGGGTGGGCCACCCCCTTCTGCAGCTCTGAACTTTGTCCTGTGTCCCCAAGCGTGGCGGGGCTGAACACATGGACCCTGATCTTTCTGCCTTCCACAGACCCCAGGCTCCATCCCTGCCCCCTAGTGGGGTGTCACGGCCTCCCCGAACCTCTGAGCTGGCCCTGGTAGCTCTTAGCCACTCCCAGCGGCCTCCCCAGGAACTGGCTATTTGGGATCAGCTGCTGAGGGCCAGCTCTCCTAGACCTTTCTCGGTGTCGCCTGTGAGAGGCGCTGACCAATGTGGGCTGCCCGTGCACACACGTGTGTGTGTGGTCCTGCATCCAAGCAACCAGGCCTCCCTATTGGGGCAGGATCTGGGGGGTCCCCATCTGCCCAAAGTGGGAGTTCTCAGAATGCTCCCACTTACAGGAAGGGCAGCCCCATTATGAGTGGAGGGTCAAGCTGGGGCCCAGTGAGTGGGGACCTGAGGACCCCTGCCCACCTCCAAGCCAGGCCTCATTCCCCCTCCCTGAGACCCTCACCAGGCTTACCAAGGATAATAAGAGTCAAGGGCCCCAGGGCAGGGGGCCATAGATTGGTGAGGTTTCCAATCTTCCTCCGGGTGGAGGGACCTGTCACTGGTCCTGGGTGGGGCTGCTGGGGGCTCCTTGGTGTCCTCAGAATTGGAACCTGGGCCCTCCTCCCTCCCCTCCCCCTGCTCCCCCTACTCACCCCGGGAGGATGGTAAGGACCATGCTGGACTGGCTGCCTGGGCCTGGTGGCTCCCCACAGGGGTGAGGGCCAGCTGGCTTCCCCACGTGGGGCAGGTCTTGCTCAGGACTCTGCTGTCTGCCCTCGAAGGTCAGCTGGCTGTCTTATCTCCCAGACACCGCCCCGGCCGGTCCCGCCAGCCCCGCTCAGCAGGCTCTAAGAGTCGGATGTGGGTAGAGACGCTCGCTCGTAGCTTGGTGCCCGGGGTTGGTCTGAGCAGCTGGCATGGGGAGGGGCCTTGAGACAAAGGGCTTTGAACAGGGGCAGACCTCTTGGGGTGGGAGGCCCCTAGCTGCCTTGCCCAGGGCCTGGTCACGTGATGAGGCCTCGGGGTCCACCACCCTCTGGCTGTGCAGGGTGCAACAGAGGCTCCAGCCAGCAGCTGACACCACCGGTGACCTGATGCGGGTCCAGCCGGGCCCAGCCACAAGGCAGTGGATGCCTGTGGGAGCGGAACCCTAGGCAGCCCTGGGTTAGCACCAGCCAAGCTCACTTATCTTCACCTCCCTCCCCGAGCCCCCAGTTACGGATGAGCCTCAGCAGGGACCCCAGCAGGAATTGAGGGTTTTCAATCACCTGCAAGGAGCAGAACCCCTGCCCCGGCCCTGAACTAGGCAGAAGAGGCCAAGCCTCCAGCCAGATCTGGGCAGTTCTGACCCAAGTCCCAGGGAATCAAGTCAAAGCGACAAATTCTTGGTCCTACCTGTCTGCATCCCATCATGCCAATTAGAATCTGTGCCAGAATCTCGCAGGGAGTGGCCTTGGATTTGGCCATGGGTATATGCCCAGTTATTTTGGGTTTCAGGAGCTGATCTGGGGTTTTCCGAGGAGCGCCTTGGGCAGCCAGCCCACCTGGTGTGCACTGTGGTGGATGTGTGTGTGTGTGTGTGTGTGTGCATGCATGGCCGTGGACAGACCAGCAGCTCCTGGCCCCCCACCCCCACCCCCACAGGTTCTTCGAGGACCTGGAGCGGCGACACAAGGCGCAGGTGTGTGTGGAGGACATCAGCGACATCCTGGAGGAGCACGCAGAGCATCACTTCCACCCCTACATCTCCTACTGCTCCAACGAGGTCTACCAGCAGCGTGCCCTGCAGCGGCTGACGTGAGCCAGCCCCGGGCCCGCAGGGTGGGAGGGGGCCTCGGAAGGAGCAGGCCCCTTGCCTCACTGCTCGCAGCCCAGCCTCTGCGGCTTCCCTCCGATTCCCGTTTCTGGACCAGCCACGCCACCCGCCACAGCTGAGACCCCATTCTCTGTTGCAGAAGCAGCAACGCCACCTTCCGGGAGGCCCTGCGGGCAATCGAGCAGCGGCCGGCGTGCGGGGGTCTGCCCATGATTTCCTTCCTGATCCTGCCCATGCAGAGGGTCACCCGGCTGCCCCTCCTGACCGACGTGAGTACCCAGCCCTGGCCCTGGCCTGGCATTGCTCCTCTTGACCTCGCCAAGTGTCTATTACATACGATTATAAAGACAATTATAAGATGACTTTAACCACCACGGTGACCATGGCTGCCCATAGAGCTCTCTTTGCTGGGAGCTGCTCCAGCACTTGGCGGGTTTTGTTCACTTTCTTGGTGGGTCACGGGGTGCATTCACATCCCGAGTCTGATTTGGTGTCACCCAGACCCCTGCCGAGTGTCAGTCCAGGGTTGTGGCTGCCTCCAACCCAGAGCCCTTCAGTCAGTTGTCCTGTGTGGACCTGGGGTGACCCAGACTCTGTCACCGTCCCCAGAGGCTCCCTGGAATGGCTCAAGCTCTGAGATGCCAGTTCATGGGACAGAGGGGTTCATGGGGGTGAAAACTGCACAGGCACACACAAGTACACAAGTGTACACACACAGCAGGCACAGTGCAGGTACACACATGCACACAAGGGCCCAGCTGAGCTCTGAGAGGCAGCCTGTGGCCCATGCTTCCTGGGTCAGCGTCCCAGGCAGACAGGATATCAGACCCTCCGGAGCTCTGGGACGTGGAGAAATAGAGGCTTCAGGCCCTTCCTGCTGGATGAGGACAGCCAAGGACTGAAGGGGTGAGGCCTGGCAGGAGCCCTCTGAGTGTCCCCAAGGTCTGGCACTGGTTGGGGAGCTCCTGCCGCAGGGAGGCCGCTGAGCCAGGGTACTGGAGGCTGCTCGTGGCTTCTCATATGCAGTGTCTTCCTGCAGACACTCTGCCTCAAGACACAAGGCCACCCCGAGAGGTACAAAGCAGCCAGCCGTGCACTCAAGGCCATCAGCAAGGTGAGGAGGACCCAGAGTAGGAGGGGGTGCATATATGAGGTGGGTACCCATCCCAGCATGACTGCAGAGACCCTGAGGGCGGGGCAGGGAGGGTTTCCAGGTGGTCCCTCCCAAGCTCCTTGCGTGCTGGTGGGGAAGCTGAGGCCCAGAGAGAGTGGAGCTCACACAGTCAGTGGGCCTAGGCAGGACGGGGACTAGGGCAGCCATGAGGGCCAGTGCCGTGGGCAGCCAGGCCAGGCCGGATGGGGGGTGGGAGTGGGGAGCCAGGCGTGGCCCGGCCTGCAGCAGCCGCTCTCCTGTGCACGCCCTGCAGCTGGTGAAGCAGTGCAATGAGGGCGCCCACAAGATGGAGCGCACGGAGCAGATGTACACGCTGCACACGCAGCTGGACTTCAGCAAGGTCAAGGTAGGTGCCCCCCCAGTCCCGCCCCGGCCCTGCTCTGAGGTCAGGGGTCACCGTCCCCAGGCTGCAGGCTGGAGACAGGTTTCTGGGGGTGACCCCCACCCCCACTGTGAGGCGTGGGACTGATCTCTGCCTCTGCCTCTCCAGCCCCTTCCCCACCTGAGAGTGGCCCCCTTGGCCACAGGGCTCAGCTCCAGCTCTCCTGCCTCCAGCTCTCCTGCAGGGCAGGTGGGCCTCTCTACAGCCTGTGCCCCCACCCCCAGGGCTGCAGGAACAGAGGACAGACCTGGCGGCTGACTTGGGGGAGCTGGCAGACCCAGTCGCAGGGCTCACCCTGGGCTAGGGCTCCTTGTCAGCTGTGCTGGGAGCCAGGGCTTGGTGACCTCAGAGCCACTCAGCTTCCCTGTCCCTGGCGGGTCTGGAGGTCTGGAGGTCTCAGCAGCCTACAGTGCCTCCCAAGCAGGCAGAGCTCAGACCTCTGCCCCCACAGCTCCTCCACCAGCCCACAGACTAGCGCATCCTTGTGTGGTCCAGGGACTGCCCTAACCACTGCCCATGGCAGTGGGAACTGCTGGCTGGAATCAGGACCTGAAGGCAGCCTCTCCCCACGCCCCCTCCCCCACCTCCCTGCCTTTCTAACCTTGCTACTCCACCCCAGCCTGTTTGCAGCAGAGGGAGACTCAGAGGAAGCCTGGGGCAGCTCTGTGGGTGGGGCCTCAGTTTATCATCAAGCAGACTGAGCTGCCGATCTCCAGTCTGCAGAGGCAGCTGGGCAGGCCTGAGCCGGATGGGAACACGCCATGGGCAGGCGGGAGGGGAGGACTGTGGAGCCATGGAAGGGGGCGGAGGCTCAGACAAGGGCAGCAGGCTCCTTGACGGTGGGTCAGGGTGGGCTTCACAGAGGAGGCATTTGAACCCTTGGCCCAGGTCCTGATCCTCTCCCTGGCCGGGCAGCAGAGTTCATGTTTGGAGTGAAGTATGTCCCTGGCCGTTGCAAAGACCCAGACTCAGGCCAGGCTGACCCCTGAGCGGGGCTCTTAGCCCCTATCCCCATCTCTCAAAACTGGAGGGCTTGGGGGCAGGGGAGCAGCGAGCCCAGGTGGGGGCGAGGGGGCTCAGAGCCCCTATAAAGGGTGGGGCATGGGGTGGGGCATGTCTGGGGAGCAGAGGCTGGTGGGCAGGCCCTCCCAGCTCCCCTCAACCACCCCCCTGCGAAGTCTTCTCTGTCTGCCTCTCCCCATCTCTTGCTAGCTTAGCAGGCCAGGGCGTTGGTGCTGGCCACGGTGACGTGATACCCCTGTGGGCAGGGGTGAGGTGTCCTGCCTGCCTGTGCCTCTCATATGTCCCCCTTAGCCCGGCCTGTTCTCTAGGCCACGGAGGGGGGAGGAACTTCATTTACAGGAAAGGACCCTGGACACCAGTGTGGCCCTGCACATCAGGGGGCCCCTCACAGTCTGCACAGGTGTGGCCAAGCCACCTGGTTCAGGGGGCCCTCGGCAGGTGCCCAGTGGGCCCCTAGGCCTGGCTGGAGGCAGGGCAGGCCTGTCCTGGGTTGCTGAGCAGGATCTGGGTCCGGCCTGGCACAGAGCTGTTGCCCCATGGGGCTTCTGTCCACAGACTGAATGGCCCTTTGTTTGAGGCCTGGATATTAGCTCTCCCTTCCTCGTTCTAGCCCCAGGGAGGCCTGGTCACCCTGTTCTCAGAGGCAGGGCTTTGTCCCCTTGACAGCATATCCCTGCCCCCAGGACTCATCCCAGGAGCCCCTGCGAGACTCACCCCAACTCTGCGTTGCCCCCTAGTCCCTTCCTGCCCCACCCACCCCAGGACTCACTCCATCTCCGCCCTGCCCCCAGTCCCTTCTTGCTCCCACCAGGACTCACCCCATCTCTACCCTGCCCCCCAGTCCCTTCCTGCCCCCACCAGGACTCACCCCATCTCTGCTCTGCCCCCCAGTCCCTCCCACTGATCTCTGCCTCCCGATGGTTGCTGAAGCGCGGGGAGCTCTTCGTGGTGGAGGAAACTGGACTGTTCCGGAAACTCGCCAGCCGACCCACGTGCTACCTGTTCCTGTTCAATGACGTCCTGGTGGTCACCAAGAAGAAGAGGTGGGTCCCTGCCCTGGACGCCAGGCTGCATGGCCCTGGGATGAGGAGCGGGCAGCAGCCGTGGCCTTGGAGCCAGGGAGGTGGGCTGGGTCCGGCCCTTGGGAGCACCCTTCCGGCTGCCTGGCCCTCAGGCTGCCCACAGACCCCTGCAGCATCTGGCCAGCCACCTGTCTCCCTACAGCGAGGACAGCTTCATGGTCCAGGACTATGCCCAAGTGGACCACATCCAGGTCCAGAAGATGGAGCCCTCAGAGGCCTCTCTGCCTGGGGGCGGCAACCGCAGCTCCTCTGTTCCGCACCCCTTCCAGCTGACCCTCCTGCACAACAGCGAGGGCCGCCGGGAGAAGATCTTGCTGTCCTCTGACTCCGCGTAAGACGGGAGGGCTTCCTGGAGGCAGGGGCAACCCTGAGAGCTCCATGGGGATGGGAGGCTGTGCCAGGGCCAGCCCAGTTCTCATGCAGTTCACACTCCTGGGGTTGAGGGAGGACATGCCAGGTGCAAAATGTGCAACTCAACTGTCCTTTGTGTCCAAGGGGGCGAGGACTAAGGGAAAACAGGCAGGGAAAGGGGGGTGCCTGGTGGGGGCCCTGGGCAGGGAGCTCCAGCAGACCCAGGAGGACAGCAGGGCTGGAGCACAGGGTGGGGACCGTGGGGGGCAATAAAGTCAGAACAGTGGGGGACCAGTGCGCAGAGAGGTACTGGCCAGGTTTCCACACCTCCACCAGCAGGGCCCCTTCCCAGGAGGGAAGCCAAGGCTCTATTTCCAACAGCAGACTGATGGGGGGCAGGGCGTCCCGGACCATTTCCAGGAAACAGGGCAGCCTGGGTTGTGGGGGTGCAGCCGCTGCCCGAGTCTGTGGCCACAGGCAACTGAGACCTCGGGTCAGCCTGCCTGGGGGAGGCCTGCCTGCCGCTCCTTCCTGAGTCTGACTTCCTGCACCTCGGCCCCACCCCAGCACAGTGGGTCAGGCCGACCAGGGGGGCCACCCACTTACACCTCCCACTCAGGGCCGGCTCACCAAAGGGCGTCCGGGCAGCGTAAACCTTTATCCCACTGCCTTCACAGCTCAAAGACTGTGGGGGCTCAGTGATCCCCATCTTCCCACCATGTCACACTGGCTGGGGGGGTGTGAAGCAGAGGTCATCAGCTTGTGGGATCGGCCTCGGGCCTCACTCACACGCACCCTGCCCCCAGGAGTGACCGCGCACGGTGGATCACGGCACTTACGCACCGGGAGAGGCAGGCGCGGGGCCCCCAGAACAAAGGAGGTGAGAGCCTGCCCTGCACCCAGCAGGGCTCACAGCCCCTTCCCTGCCCGAGGGCGGGGGTCAGCCTGGAGCGAAAAGGTGCTGTCCAGCCCTCAGTCCACCCCGCAGCCTCCCCCAGGGTGACCTGCCCGGGAGGGACCCTACCGCAGGTACGTGTGTGTCCATCTGGGCACACAGACCCAGCACTGGCTCAGGACCTCGTCCTCCCAGCTGCCAAGTGACCGGGGAAACTGAGGCCCAGGAGCTGGAGTGGACTGGCCGGTAGAGCTGTAACCCAGCCAGGGCCCTGCCTAGACCCTGAGAAGCCTGGAGCGCCCTCTGCTGGTGCTGAAAGCGGGAGCAGCAGGTCCCGCAGCCTCGGGAGGGATCCCGACTTTAGCGGAGGAAAGCTGCCTGGTGACCATGCGCTGGGACACCTTGCGGCCCCCCGGCTTCACCGAGACTAGGCCACAGCGGGTGCGTTGGGACAGGAGCCCTGCCCACCCCCTCCCTGAAACAGTCCTGCCGCTGATGCCTGCCCTCCCCAGACCTACTCCAGGTGGAGATCACTAAGGCCTACCTGGCCAAGCAGGTGGACGAGATCACACTGCAGCAGGCGGACGTGGTCTTGATCCTGGAGCAGGAAGATGGTGAGTGCAGGATGATGGGCCTGGGGGGGTGCACGGGTGGGGGGAGATGGGCCTGGAGGGTGCACGAGGGGGGTGTGATGAATCTGGGAGGGGTGTACGGGGGAAGCGATGGGCCTGGGGGGTGCACAGGGAGGGGAGATGGACCTGGGGGTGTGCATGGGGGGGAGATGGGCCTGGCGGGTGCATGGGGGGAGGGATGCCCTGAGGGGGTGCACGGGTGGGGAGAGATGGACCTGGGGGTGTGCATGGGGGGGAGATGGGCCTGGCGGGTGCATGGGGGGAGGGATGCCCTGAGGGGGTGCACGGGTGGGGAGAGATGGACCTGGGGGTGTGCATGGGGGGGAGATGGGCCTGGGGGCTGTACACGGGGTGGGGGGGCGATGGGCCTGAGGGGGTGTACAGGGAGGCAATGGGCCTGGGAGGGTGCATGGGGGGCAATGGGCCTGGGGGCTGTTCACGGGGTGGGGAAGTGACAGACCTAAGGGGGTACACAGGCAGGTAACGGGCCTGGGGGATGCATGGGATGGGGGACAATGGGCCTGGGATTTGCATGCAGCGGGCAGAGAGGAGGGGCCGGCAGGCTGGTGCTGAGTGAGAGTCTGAGAACCCTGCCCACAGTCCAGAGCACAGTGGTGTGGGCAGCTACCCCAAGTCCCCTAAAGAAGCAAACACTGCATAGGCTCACACTGGGCCCAGGGCCCCCTTCAACAGCCTGCCTCAAGGATGTCTTCCCATGAACCAGAGTCTTAGGCTCGAAAGTGGGTTCCTGGTCACTCCATGTCCTAAGCAGGAGATTAGCCCCTGTGAGCAGCTGCTCAGGATGGGCCAGGCTGGTTGGAGCGAGCTCAGCCCCTGAGGCCAGTCAGGGCCAAGCACCTGCTGGAAGACCAGCTGGCCGCGTGACCTTGAGCAAGGCCACTGGTTAAGGCCACTGGTTTGGATGCCCGACCCTGGCATCTTCTGGAGCGGTAACTCCGAGGGCTGAGGACCCGACTTAGGGGCCCCACCCTCACCTGCCCGGTGTCTGGATCCAGGATGGCTCTACGGCGAGAGGCTGCGGGATGGAGAGACAGGCTGGTTCCCTGAGGACATCGCCCAGAGCATCACCAGCCGCGTGGCTGTGGAGGGCAACGTGCGCAGGATGGAACGGCTGCGTGTGGAGACGGACGTGTAGCCGGGTCTGCCGGCACCTCGCCAGGCCGGGCTGTGGCCGTGCAGTGTCAGTCCACACTCCAGCACGTGGCCCCACCTGTTCCTGGGGAGCATGGTGGGCTTGCCCTTGGGGCCTGAAAGGTCCAAGGCCTGGTGGGCTGCAGCATAGGCTCTGGACACTTCCAAGGAGGATGGTCACACGCCCTTGGGGGAGCATCCTCCGGGGGAGCATCCTCCAGGCAAGCTCGGGAGCCATGCCAGCCCTGGCCCCAGGCTGTGTCCCCGGAGGAGCCCTGCCTGACCTGCTTGCTGGCCTCACCCTCCCCCAGCTCCTGGCTGCCCTGTCCTGTCCCCTGTGCACCCAGGGGCAGTTAGGCGGTGGGCGTGTGATTGAGGTAGATGGACCTGAGAAGAGCGGGAATCACCTGGAGGGGTCTCCCACGCCTGTCCTGCCCCAGCCTTAGTGCCCACGGCTGCCCCGTGTTCCCAGAGGTGACCCTGTGGTGCCAGCACTGAAGTTGTGACTTTGAGACATTAAAGTATTTCTTCGGCACCGGGATTTGCACATTTGTGAGCCCCAGCAAAGGCTACAACAGTCCCTGCAAAATTCCCAAAGTGCCATGGGCCAGAACTGGGCCCCCCATGTGTGGTCACCTGTGCTGGGCCCCGGGAGCTTGTCTGGGCCCACATTCATGGTCACCCTGTGCCAGTCCTTGGCCCTGCCCATCTGTCCACCTGCAATGTTATATACAGGGTCATTCCCATGAAGCCCCTTGAAGCTGAGCCTGGTCAGTGGGTCTGGGGACTCAGGGACATGGCAGAACCTGTGGCGGAGCCCCACCAGGGTGTCCCCCCCCCATCCCTCACCTCCCTTAATGGCCCCACTTCCCAGCCAATCTGCTTGCCAAGGACCCCCTGGTACTTGCAGGTGGGTAGAGGTGGGCTGGCCTGGGCTCAGGGCAGGGGGAGAAGTGTCCTGCTCCCCAGGAGAGGGTGATGGCCAGCTGGTGGCAGGGTGTTGCTGGGCTAGGTGCGAGAAGGACAGGTCCACTTTCCCGGGAAGCCCCCTGCCAGTCCTGCCAATTCCCAGCCCATGCCCAGTACCTCTCTCGGCCCTGGCAGCACTGTCCTTGGGGTGGGGGCTCCCAGTGTTCTGACAATCTGCCAGAGCCCTGCTGAGGCCCTGTCGTGCTTATGACAGCTGGGGTGTGGATCCCTGCCACAACCAGGGGAGGGTGACTGGGGGAGACCCACCCTCTGTCCCTTCCACCCATCCCTGGGGCTGGCTACAGGAGGAAGGCTGGCAGGGGCCTGAGCGGGGTGAGGCAGATCCAGGCTCCGCCCACTGAATCTGGTGGGGGGGGCGGGGTTCCACACCGGGAGGGAGGGGCAGCTCCTTCCTTTAACCTCCAAGCTGACCTCCGTGGCCTCTGGCAGCTGGAAGAGCCATCCTGAGCAGAGCGTCTGCAGGATGGTGCGGGGCCAGGCTCAGTGTGAGAGGCATGATCTTGGGGGGAGGGATCACCAGAGATCAGGCCCAGCTCCTCCCCCCTGGACAGGTGGGAATCTAGGGGCTCCATTTTCCTGTCTGTGAGCTAACTCCATACTGTTTTCTTGGAGCTGCTGGGGGGCAATCTGGTGACCAGGGTGAAGAGCAAGTGTGTGTGTGTGTATGCACAAGCACATGTGTGCACCCTTGGCAGAAGTGGGGGGACAGCGTCGCTGTGTAAGCCCTGCAGCACCCCTGCCCCTTCTCTTCCCCTGACTCTCAGGTGGGCAGGCCAGCCCTTGCCCATCCTTTTCCGGTCATGTTTTTGGTATGATGGAAAAGCTCCAAGGCACATCCTCGGTTACTGACCTGGGGTCTGCAGCCTCAGCTGGTTTCCTTCTGCAAAGTGGACGCAGGTCCTGATGGGACCCCTGTCTGTGCCACACACCTCCACCCACTCCCACAGTTGCCACCCGTCCTCCAGGTCACGGGAACCCACTGGACTTGAAGGCTGACCCTGAGATCTTCTGAAACTATGAAGGGCTTCACATCTTTTCACCGGATAAATTCTGGTATTTCTGGGGCCTGTTGCCAAGTCAAGTGGGATCTGATGTTGTATTCTGTTTACTAGTGGCATTGAAGAACTGTATATTTTTACGGGTCTTATGTGTTTCCTATCATCTCTATTTGATGGCCCACTTTGCCAAAGTCATAAATCCTACTCATCTGTCTCCTGCCCTCTCCCTTTCCCCGCAGGCCTGACACCTCTTACTTCTTTGTCTAAGCCAGGGCTGTGACCTGGGGTCTCCTAGGTTCTGCTGGGGTCAGGAGGAGCGAGTGACGATCTGATTCTCCACCTTTGAGGGAGTATGTTCGTTCTTCCCACAAGGGTTACTGGGCCTGACCCACGTCCTGTCTGAGGGGCCCAGCGTGACTCAAGCCGAGCCTCCGCCCCCAGTCCCAGGAAGGAAACAGGCTGTCACTTCAGGGCTGTGGAGACCAGTAATGGGGGAGGGAAGGTAGGAGCCCAGGGAGGGGACAAGGAGCCCTGGGCGGCCTCCTGGGACTGAGATCCGGAATCCATCGCCTTCCCAGATCAACTCGCAGAAGATTCTTGGCACGCAGCCATCATCGAGAAAGTGCCTGTCTATATCTGTTTTCTAGAAACTTTCATCAGAAAGAGGTGCCGAGGGATGGGATGGGGAGGGAGGTGGGAGGGGGGTTCAGGATGGGGGACATGTGGCTGATTCATGTCAATGTATGGCAAAGAGCACCACAATATGATGAAGTAATTAGCCTCCAATTAAACTAATTAATTTTTAAAAAAATCCTCCAAATGAAAGAGAAAGAGGTGCCGAGCTTTATCAAATGCTCTTTCTGCTTCTATCCAGACCATGGTATCCAGACCATCCCACCCAAACACCTGGGCACATTTTCTGAGGCTAAAGTCCTTGTGTGGCTTTTTTCTATTTGTTCTAGATAACATTACTGTATTTATTTTGGCCATGCTCTGCCGCACGTGGGATGTCAGTTCCCTGACCGGGGCCCCCTGCCGTGGGAGCACGGAGTCCTAACCCCTGGGCCGCCAGGGAAGTCCCCGCCTTGTGGTTTCATCAAGTCCAAGTCCCTTTGGATCAAGTGGATGTAATTTTTTTGAATATTTTTGAGTAGCTAGTATTTTACTTAGCCTTTCTGCATACACGTCTGTAAATTTCTTTTCTCGTATTGCCATCACCTATTGGAGAAGCCGGTTGGTACTGGCCTCCTGAAATGAGCTGAGTCGAGTCTCCTCTACTTAGTATTTCTGGAACAACTCACATCAAACAAGTTCTTGTCTCAGGGGTCTGGCCCAGCCCCTCCATCAACATATGATCCAGCCCTCCTGGGGTGGTGACAGAGGGGGAGGGGGAGAGGGAGCTATGACAACTATTTGCGTTAAATTATTGGTTTATTCAAGTTTTTGATTTCCACTTACACTGCTTCTGGTAGTTTATATTTTCCTGAAAAGTTTCCATTTTTTTTTAAGTTTTCAAAGTTATTGGTACTTAGTTGTTCATAATATTCCCTTTTATATCTTACTCTCTGTGTCTGTAGTTAACTTTCCCACCCTCCATAATTTTTTCTTGCTTAATGTTTAAAAAAAATCATCAACCTTGTTAAATTTTCTTCTTTATTACTGTTCAAAGAAGAAATTTTTGTTAAATGTTCCACTATTTTCTGTTGGTTGAGTATGAAGTTTATAGACCTAAATATAGATGTGTATATGTATGAATATAAATAAATGAATATAGGCATATATATATAGCATGTGTATAAAGATAATTAAAATGTTATCACTGCTGTCTTGCTTTTGTATTGGCTTCTGTATTAATAAATAGCACGTTGAAAATCACCAGTTTAATTCTTTCCATCTGTTAAACCCACCACGGCTTTATGAGTTTCTGAGCCTCTGTGTTTCATGCATGCATGTGAAGATATTTACATACAGTCACGTACTATGCTTTGCACACACCGTTTTAAAATATCAAAACTCATCGTCCGGCTTTTGGTTTACTTTGGATGTTTATATTTCTGTCCTTCCAGGTATGTGTTTTATCAATAAAATGTTGAAGAATGTTTAATGCAGTCTAGGGGCCTGATTTTGATCATCTGTAACCATTTCAATCAGGCTTTCACCTATTTTCTTATTCTGCTTGACTCTTCCTCCTTCCCTGCTGCTGCCACTGCTGCTAAGTCACTTCAGTTGTGTCCGACTCTGTGCAACCCCATAGACAGCAGCCCATCAGGCTCCCCCGTCCCTGCCTTCCATTAAAGAGATGACATTTCCTCCAGTTTAAAAGTTAAACTTCCTATCAGTACTTCTGTGAAGGTCACAGTACCTTATCGAGTCCAATCTACATGAGGGTTTGGCTGCCTCTGACCAGAGAAAAAGCTGGTTTAAAACTCAACATTCAGAAAACTAAGATCATGGCATCTGGTCCCATCACTTCATGACAAATAGATGGGAAAAAAATGAAAACAGTGGCAGATTTTATTTTCTTGGGTTCCCAAATCACTGTGGATGGTGACTGCAGCCACAAAATCAAAAGACACTTGTTCCTTGGAAGAAAAGCTATGACAAACCTAGAGAGCATATTAAAAAGCAAAGGCATCACTTTCCTAACAAAGGTCCATCTAGTCAAAGCTATGATTTTTCCAGTAGTCATATACATATGTGAGAATTGGACCGTAAACAAGCCTGAGTGCCAAAGAATTGATGCTTTCAAGCTGTAATGCTGGAGAAGACTCTTAAGAGTCCCTTGGACAGCAAGATAAACTAGTCATTCCTAAAGGAAATCAACCCCAAATATTCATTGGAAGGACTGATGCTGAAGCTTAAGCTCCAATACTTTGGCCACCTGATGCAAAGAGACAATTCATTGGAAAAGACCCTGATGCTGGAAAAGATTGAAGGCAAAAGAAGTGGGTAGCAGAGGATGAGACAGTTGGATAGCATCACCAACTCAATGGACATGAATTTGAGCAAACTCGTGGAGATAGTGAAGGACAGGGAAGGAAGCCTGGCATGCTACAGTCCATGGGGTCGCAAAGAATCAGACACAACTTAGCGAGTGAACAACAAGACGAGTGTCTTTCACTTTCTCTGCTCCACCTCACCTGGCTTCCTAGTGCCAGTTATCATTCTCTTAATCTCTAGGTCAGGGGTCGGTTAAAAAAGAGTCAGACACAATTTAGCGACTAAACAACAAATCACTAGGTCATATGAGAAACATAATGATTATCTTATGCTTTCCATTCTTACTGGAAAACTTCCTCTGAATGTAATTTCAAGTGTGCCCACTGCGGCTGTGGACACCCAGGAATAATGTCCACTTTTCTTCTCAAGGACAGTTTAGCAGGACACACGATTCAAGGCCATGAAATTCAAGTTTCAACGTCTTTTTTTCAACACTCAGAAACTGACATCACCATCTTCTTGCTTCAGTGTTTCTGCTGGAGCGTCTGCTGTCACTCTGACTCCTGTTCGCTTCTTCTGGGCATTTTAGAATGTCTGTTACTAGTATTCTTTAAATTCCTTAGACAATGGCTTTAAAATGTTTTAAATTTTATTTCCAATATGAGCACTTTGGATCTGAGATCATCCAACTTAGACCTGAGAGCTTGGTGCTTTGTGTCAATGGTTTTTCCCTTCTTTTTCTAAGGCTTCAGAAGTGTTAACACTTCACTCATCCTATTCCACTAACCTTTCCTCTGTATCTTCTCTCTCTGCCTCCCTGATGCCTCCTGGGAGGGTTCTGAGCTGGAAAACCTGGTATTTGGCTAGATTCCTGCTACCACCCCTCACCCCCCACCCCCCAGCAACTCCAGCCTCCACACGCTCCACGCCCAGTCCTGACGATGGTCCTTCTTGACCTGCATCCCATTATCCCTGCACTGTTCCTGATGCTTTCTGGGATATGGATGCTATTTATGTACCTCAAAGTCTTAAAACAGTGGCCTGTCCACTTGCTGTCCGTCTGAGGAGACAGGGTTCACGAGAACCCACCCTGCTTTGCCCCATGAGATTCTTGGCCCCTGGAGCTATCAGCTACCTGGGCTCATGCTGGAGGGGAGGGGGCTCCAGCCCAGACCTAAGTGTCTGGTGTGACAATCTGGGTCCAACCAATTCCCCTGGTTCTACCCTGAAGACAGGGCAGGGGGAGGAGTGTGCCACACCCAAGCTGCCCTTAGCTGCACCCTGCCCTCCTCCCCTGGGGACCACACGTCCCATATACAGGCTGTTGCCAGCACTTGGAGGGTCTCTGGGCCCCATGCCCTCAAGAGCACCGGAAACCGGGATAAACCCTGACTTTGTTTGTGTGGCCCAGGGAGGCCCAGGGGCCTCACGGGCCTCTCTGGTCAGCCCACTCATGCCAGCGGTCCCAGGAGGCCACCACAGGGAGCCTGTACAAAGCAGCAAGCACACAGGCCTCCAAGAAGGAGCTGCTCCATCCTTAACTTACTGGTTTCACAGGGTAGCGAAGCCCCACCCAGAGGCCCGAGTCAAGGCCCCCCAGGTGGGGCAGCAGGCAGGCAGCCCTCCAGTGCCCAGGGGCTGGCTGCCCATAAATACCTTCCATAAATATGGCCCGGCCTAGCACCAGCATCTGTTTCCAGGTAAACAGACTGAACTGCAGCAGACCCAGGCCTAGCACCAGAAGAACTTGCTCCCAGGAAGGGCCCCAGGCCCACGCCTGTCCCCGCACCTGCCCGAAGTCTCACCCCGGGGACACGGCAGGTGTGGTTTCCTCCACACTATGACCCTCAGGGCGGGCCAGGCAGGGCCTCCATCCTCGTGGTCAGAAGATCCTTGCAGAGCTGAAGGCTGCACCACTGTCCACAGGCCTCGGAGACCGGGTGGGGCCGGAGTTCTGGCCCCCGCATGTCCCTCCTCAGTGGTCACCAAAGCCCCCAGGTCCCCTCAGTGGCCCCTGGGAGCCAAGCCTCAGCGGGGGCTGCCCCTGAGCTAGTGCTTCTCTGGGCTGCTGCTGAGCCCGGGTCTGGTGGGAGGTTGGTTGTAGGGCCGCTGCAGGAGCAGGAAAGAAGCAGGTCAGCCCTGGGGTGGGCGGAAACTCTCCAAGGCTTTTGAGTCCTGGGCTCAGGCTTCCTGCCACCCCTCGTGTCCTTCCAGCTCCAGCCGTGACTCATCTCTAAGGTCCAGGTTTTAGAACCCCCGCCACCCTGGGGGCCCAGATTACATGCAAGTGCTGGATCCCCCTCCCTCCTCTGGGCTTAATCTTCAGGTAAAGGGGCTGTAACGCTCACTAGCAAGTTCCATCCTCCTGGCAACACGGGGATGCCCCCGGCCCGCCTACCTGGGCCCAGGGCTGGAGACGGGCTCTCCAGGAGCTGGGAGGGTCCACCTGCAGGCAGATAGACACACTGGTGCCCCTCCATCGGCTGGGCAGCAGTCACAGGGCAGCGAGGCTGCAGGGACCCCCACTGTCTCCTTCACAGCATCTCCCCGCCAACACACAGGGTGAGGAGGCAGGACTTTGGACTGGATGAAGAGGGGCTTCACTACAGGCCCTGTGGGGTCCACTCCAGGGCAGGTGCAGCGAGGCCCTTCCTGTCCTCCTTCCCAGCAGGGCTCAGGCAGGGGCACCCCCAGTTCCTGACGCCCCCCAGGGTAAACATCAAGGCCACCTAGAATGCTCTGGTGCAGTACCAAACCTGACCACCAGGTGCCACTGTGGGCATCATTCGTCCCAGGACCAGCCCCCCACCCAGTTTCTGTCTCCACCTGCTCAACCCCCTCCTCTTCGGGAGGTGGGATCCCTCCCCTAAAGGCACTTAGGGACCAGGGCTGCCTTGGGAAGGCTCAACAAGACGCACTCACAATATCAAGACCATGTCTGGGGTCCCCAGGTCAAGGATCCCAGTCTGGAATCACTACTCTCACCCTTGATCCCCCCATCACCCCATCTCAAGGCCTGCTGGGCACAGGCCGCAAGCCAGCCTCTGGTCTCCCCTGGCAGACACGATGCTTCCCAGGAACAGGCTAGGCCTGGGTGAGGTGACCAGGGCACCCCAGAGGGGCACAGGTGGCCAGAAGAACAGGGGCACCCCAAGCTCTGTTTGCAGAAAGCAGGCTCCCCCAGTGCTTCGGGGGGCTGAGGGGACACAGAGCCATCACCACCCCCAGACCTGTCCGTGGGTGTGCACAGGCACACGTGTGCACTTGAACACAGGCAAGCAGTGAAGCGCCCTTGTGCACAGAAGCACACACACACATACACACACACACACACACACACACACACACACACACGCCGCGAGACACAGATGCTTGCATGCAGACTGGAGCACATGCTGCGTGCTCAATCACTAAATCGTGTCTGACTCTTTGCGACCCCACGGACTTCAGCTCGCCAGGCTCCTCTGTCCATGGTATTCTCCAGGCAAGAATATTGGAGTGTGTTGCCAGGCCCTCCTCCAGGCGATCTTCCCAACCCAGGGACTGAACCCACTTCTTTTATGTCTCCTGCATTGGCAGATGGGTTCTTTCCCACTAATGACAGCTGGGAAGACTGGAGCACACACGCACCCTTGGGTAGGTACACTGTCATGCCCGGGTTCACACACGCAGGGAGAGGAAGGGGTGGTGGTGGGCTGTGTCAGTGCCCACCCAGCCCTGCCCACGGGGTCTCCACCCTCTGCAGTTTGAGCCCACGCCTGCCGCTCTAAGGCTGGCTGTATGCTGAGTCCCACCCATGGTCCAGGGGCTGGAAGGTCCACACTTTGTCCAACAGAGGCCAGACACCATGGGCATCATGCTCGGATGGTGACATTCATGCTGCTTGTCCAACCCCACCAGCACCATGTCCCCCCACCCCCGCCCCCGGGAGCCCGACTCACCCTGCCGGCATGTGGGCCCTGTGTAGCCGTCCACACAGAGGCACTGCCCACTGACAGGGTCGCAGTCGGCCCCGCCCCCGCAGGAGCAGCGCAGGACACAGCCCGGCCCGAAGAAGCCCCTCCTGCAGCCTGTGGGTGGGATGGGGGTGGTGGGAGGGACAGGCCTGAGTGTCACTCCGGTCCACCCAGGGCTGGGACCAGCAGGCCTCAGGACACCCCCAGGGAGCAGGCAGGAGCAAAGACCTCAAGTCTTAGTTTTGCCCTGCATGAGCCCTCACATGGGAAAGCGCTGGGTGCTGGGCACTGGCCCAGAATCTCCTCCCCATGTTTCCACCAGCTCCCAGGCTGGCGAAAGGGAGCTGACGGTCAGGGAGGCTCCCTAGGGGCAAGACGGCCAAGAGCCCTGAGGAGGAGACACGGAGCCCGCGCAGGTTGGCTGGCCCATCTGGGAGGTCTCCTTCCCACCTCACCGGGGGCCCCTCCCCAGGACCAACGCCCCCCGACCCCGGGGAGATGCCCCAGAGGGACTTAGGTGGAGGCTGTGAGGCAGGACAGGCCTCGACAACCCCAAGCAGGAACCCTGGTGCTGGGCCCCCTGTGAGCCACTGTGCTCCAGAAACACAGTCGACTCCACCAACAGAGACCCACACCCCTGCCCCCACCAAGCAGTACCCCTGACTCACCCAGGTCACAGGAGGCCCCCATGCGCCCCGGGGGACACAGGCAGTGGCCGGTGACGGGGTCACAGGGCACCCCAAGCTCGCAGTCACACTGCCGGCTGCAGCCCTCTCCGAACGAGCCCGGCTCACACCCTGGAGGGGGCACTGGGCTCAGCATCCTCTGTCCTGAGCCCAGGGCGGGGGGGGGGGGGCCAGGTGGGAGTGCGTGGGGGCACGGACACTCACCCTGCTCGCAGAACTGGCCATGGAGGCCGGCAGGGCAGAGGCACCGGCCACTGACGGGGTCGCAGGGGGCACCGTGCTGACACTGGCATGTCTGCTGGCAGCCAGCCCCATGGAAGCCGGGGGGACAGGCTGAGGGAGACCGGGTCGGAGTCCCTGACTCAGTTTGCCCAGAGAGCAAAGGACGGGGTCGGGGCTGGCACCCCCTTCCTCCCACCCTGGTCCGGTGCCCAAAAGTTGGCTCAGGCCTCATCGCATCAGGCCACCACAAGGAGTGACACGGAAAGCAGAGGAGTGCACTCTGGGGGGTGATGGCCCAACCCTACAACTCACGGTGCTCGCAGGCCTGGCCATAGAAGCCGGGGCCGCAGCGGCAGGCCCCCGATGTGGGCTCACAGGCCCCACGGTTGTGGCAGGAGCACTCGAGGCTGCAGGCAGCACCGTAGCGCCCGGCGGGGCAGGCTGGGGAGGGGCCGGGGGGTCAGCCTCCTGCCACGGGACAGCAGGGGCACTAGCCTCTTCCAGGTGACCCCGGGAGCCTTGCCCGGCCCTCCAGCAGCCTGGTGCCTCCCCACGATCACCCCTAAGCTATGGCCCTCCTCCCCCACCCAACCCCCTGGCACACCCGCTACGGGCGGCAACCCTCCAGCTCACACACGATGCAGCCCCCAGGCTGCCCCAGACTCACCCAGCTCGCAGTGTGGCCCTGTCCAGCCCAGGCTGCAGGAGCAGCTGCCATTGGTGGAGTCACACAGGCCCCCGTTCCTGCAGGAGCATGCATGCTCGCAGTTCACACCAAATCGGTTCTGGGGGCAGCCTAGGGACGAAGCGGACCTGCTCAGAGCTCTGGTCCAGAGCCAGACATGCTCCAGGACACTCCCACGTGATCTGACAGTCATTCGACAAACACTTCCTGCCCGCCCGCCTCCCTCAAGCCAGGCACACATGTGCCAGGAAGCAGCACCAATCACGTCCTGCCAGTTCATCCACCCTCAGAGGCCAGAACTGAGCTGGTGCTGAGCGTAACACAGGAGGAAAGGGACCAGGGCCCTCCAGGGAGTGCCTGCCCAGCAGGCAGGAGGGAGTCAGGGAAGTCTTCCTAGAGGAAGAGGTACCCTCCAGGTTCGGAGGAGGCTGGGCAGCCCCACACTCCAGGTGGTGCTTTCAGACTCTGACCCCTAGCTGCCGTTCTCCCCTGGAGGTAAGGAGTGGCCTGGCTGGAGTAAGGACTCAGGACCTGGGGGAGTGTGACTGGCCCCTTGAAGAGGACCAGAGGGGGCAGAGGGCTCAGGCCTACCAGGGTGTGGGGTCAGATCAAGCAGTGTGGGCATGGCCTGAGGACCTTCTTACCATCATGAGCACGAACACCACAACAGTCCCAGGGGCCACTCCAGTTGCCCCACCATCACCTGTGCTCCAGGCCTCCCTCTCCGTGGGCTCCCAGCTGCTGGGCCCAGGAGGAAGGGACAGCAGGACCCTGTTCCAGGAGGACATCAGCCAAGAGGCTGGCTCCATCCTCAAGACAGAGCAGTCGCCCGATCCCTCCTGTTGGGGGGGTGGGGGCTGGCTCTGGGACAGAAGTTATTCACCCCCTATTGGCCACAGGGAACTGGAGAGGTCAACTGATGGCCTGAGTCCTGGGGTCATGGGTCAAGGCAAGATACGGAGTGCTATCAGATGACCCGAGTGGGCACTGCGGTCAACATGAGCAAGCCCTCACTTATATCCTCAGGGTGCCTCGGGGATTAACAGAAGGGACCCAGCTCTCCTGTGACCCCACGGCTTCACTCTATCACCACCCCCTCATGGCTAATGTAGGGATGTATGCGAAGTGCCCGAGGTGGCAGGCAAGCGGGCTCTCACCGTGCTCACAGTGGACGCCGGTCCTCCCAGGCGGGCAGGAGCAGCTGCCGGTCGCGGGGTCACAGGCCGCCCCCTGCCCACACCCGCACACATGGGCACAGCCGGAGCCAAAGTGGCCATGTGGACAGACTGCCGGGAGGAAAGGGGAGGGTGGCCACTCCTGGCTGGATCCCCCTGCCTCTGCTGTGTCAACCCAGAGGGGACGGGACTGGGCCAGGGCGGGCTGGGTGGGGAGACTCCCGCCCTATCTGCCCAGACAAGGCGGGGCCGCCTGCCACTGAGCACCCCCGCCTGCCCTGGTGTCTCCCTCGGCTGCAGGCTCTGCGGGGGGGCCGGGCCCACGCTACAGTGAGTGACCCACGGGGCCCCCACCCACCTCCACCAGCCCCAGCCCCAGACAGTTGGAAAGGCCCCACGTGACTCAGGGAAAGGCCCTTCTCTCGGCAGGACGCTGGCTGGCCTCTGCAGGGCTCCTGGTGGACACAGCCCAGGTCAGGGGTATAGCACACAGCCAGGCAGAGCAGGCCGAGGACACAATTTGGCCACACCAATCCCCCCAACTTAGCCTGGTCTGCGGCCAGTCCCAGCGAGGGACCCAAGGAGTGGCACGGTCAGGGACTGTCTGCCCCGCAGGCCGGATGGCGGGGCCCTGCCTGTCGAGGTGCAGGGAGACACCCCAGCCACTCACCGAGGCTGCAGTCAGTCCCAAGGAACCCGGCGGGGCAGTGGCAGGAACCGGTGGCCGCGTCACAGGAGCCCCCATTGAGACACCCACACAGCAGCTCACAGCCAGGCCCAAACCGCCCAGGCGGGCATCCTGCGGGGGGAGGGGCCAGTTGCCAGGGTCAGGGGGCTCCCAAAGCCCCTCCCCCCTCCCTGGCCATCACTCCTGCGGACCCGGTGGGCGGCCGGGGCAGCACTCACGTTGCTGACAGCTGGCCCCGTGGTACCCGGGGGCGCACACGCAGGCCCCCGAGGCGGGGTGGCAGGCCTGGTTCTCGCCGGGGCAGTGACACTGCTGCTCACAGCGCTCCCCAAAGGTGCCAGGTGGGCAGGCTGGGGGAGGCAGCAGGGGTCAGTCAGTCCTGGCCCGGCCTGGAGAAGGCACCCTCCTTCATCCCGGCCCCCTCTTGCGGGCAGAGCTCTGGGGCCCAGCCTAGGAGCGCATGTGACCTGAAGTGCCCCCAGGCCTGACCACGTCAGGCACCCACCTTGCTCACAGCTGGGCCCTGTGAAGCCCGGGGGACAGTGACACTCCCCGGTGACGTGGTGGCAGGCGGCACCCGGGTGGCACTGGCAGCGCTGGGCACAGGCCTCTCCAAACCAGCCAGGTGGGCAGGCTGCAGGGAGGCGCGGGCGGAGGTGGTGGGGAGCCCTGGGGTGGGGTGGTGGGGAGCCCTGGGGTGGGGGGCGGGGGGCCCAAGGGGGTCACCGAGTGAAGGACCCGCCCAACCCTGGGCGCCGGCAGAGCTGGGGGCTCACCGTTCTCACACCGCGGGCCCCTCCACCCCGGGGGGCAGAGGCAGGCCCCGGTGACAGGGTGGCAGGCGGCACCCCACCGGCAGGCGCAGCGCTCCTCACAGCGGACCCCGAAGGTGCCCTCAGGACAGGCTGTGGGGAGAGGGGCAGGTGGGCTGAGTCGGGCTCGGGGTGACTCCCTGGACAGAGGTAGTAGGCCCGGGGAGCTCGGACCGCAGACCTGCCCCCTCCTACCCACTGCCCCCTACCCTGCTGAGGCCCCACACTCTGGCGTGATGGAGGCCATCTGGAGGGGCCTGAGGGGCCTCCTGGCCTCCCCCATGGGTCCCCGAGCCGCCCACTCACGGCTCTGGCACTTGTCCCCGGTCCAGCCAGCTGGGCAGAGGCAGTGGCCGGTGTGCTGGTCACAGAGGCCGCCATTGAGGCACCCGCAGCTGTGCGGGCAGCCAGCTTCAAAGACCCCCGGGAGGCACTCTGCAGAGACGGGGCAGGTGATGTCCAGGGGCCCAGGACACCTGCCCTGTCCACGTTTCCTGCACCCAGAGCTTTGGATCCCAGTCCTTGGGAAGGACAGGTGCCCAGAGGTGGTGACACCCCAGGCCACATCCAGGGTCCTGCCCCTCAACACCAGGCAGCCGTCTTGGACCACAGAGGACAGGGACTAGGGCAGTGGCCTTGGGTCCCCCCATACTCCCAGGGTCCCTCTTCCACTGGCCCGACACTCACCCTTCTCACAGGCCAGGCCAGCCCAGCCCTCTGGGCAGGTGCAGTGACCTGAGACCGGGTCACAGGTGCCCCCGTTCCGGCACAAGCAGGAGTGCTGACAGTCCTTGCCATAGAGGCCCTCTGGGCAGGCTGAGGCCAGAGAGAGAAGCAACCTGTGGTTTCCCTGCAAGCCAAGTTGGAGGCCTGGACCCCCGGAGGGATAGCCACCGGACCTGCAGGCCCGTCCCAAAGCCCAGCACCGAACTTTAGGGGCAGGAACTGGGACTGCCTCTAGGATGAGCTGCCCCAGGGCTCCCCAGGCCAGTCTTTGGGGGCTCAGGGCTGAAGGGTAGGGTCCCTTAGGAGTCCTAAGGCCTCCCTCCCTCCCCAGGTGCCCCACAGCAGGGAGATGGACTCCCACCCTCCCTGCCCAGAGAGGTTTAGATCCCCCTCAAGTCCCACGCATGTCACCCTGCACGGCCCAGGGAGGGACAAGCGTGACAGCTGGCTCCAGACTCCTGGTCAGGGCTTACCCTGCAGGCAGGTGGGCCCCGTCCAGCCAGGGCCACAGCGGCACTGCCCGTGGACAGGGTCACAGGGGGCCCCATTAAAGCAGGAGCAGGCTTGGCTGCAGTTGTGGCCAAATGTGTGGGCTGGGCAGGCTGCAGGAGAGAAGGGGGTCAGGGGCGGGGGGCATGGACCCCAGGAGGGGCTGCAGCAGACAGTTCCAGGCCGCTGAGGTCTAGCACCCCTCTTTCTGACCTGGGCACCACTCAGGGTGGCCACACACAAGGACGGACCCTAACCCTAACGGGCAGCACCCAAGGGCAGACGGGAGCCTCACGCACTCTGGGCACAGCGGGGGCCCTGGCGGCCAGCAGGACAGAGGCAGGAGCCGCTCACGGGATCACAGGGGACTCCAGCAATGCAGTCACAGACGCGGCCACAGTCCACGCCGAAGAAGCCGGCTGGGCAGGCTGCAGGCGGGGTGGTGACGGGAGACCGCCGGGGTCACGAGACCTGCCTGCATGCCAGCCACCCCTCCCACGCCCCTCCAGCCCGCACCCTGGCTCACCTCGCTCACAGAAGGTGCCCCTCCAGCCGGCAGGGCAGGTGCAGGCCCCGCTGACGTGGTCACAGGCCGCCCCGTGCTCACACTGGCACTGCCGCCCACAGCCTGGCCCAAAGTAGCCCTGGGGACACCCTGAGACACCGGACTCTCAGCTGCAGGTCCAGTCAGCCTGCCCCAGTCCTGCCCAGGGCCTGGGCCGTGGGGCAGGAGAAGCCCCTCCCTCAACCAAGGCCTCTGCATCCCTCCCAGCTAGGAACCAAGCCCCCAGCTCACCCAGACCTGCCGGCCCGGCCAGGGTGGGCGTCGACACTGCAGGCAGGGCCCCTGGTCCTTAGCAGACACTTTCCTCCCCTCCCACAGGTGGCAGGTGCCCCTTGGTGTGCGACTGACCCCATCTCTCGCTGCCTTTGCTCCTCGTGGGCCTTCTCTTGAGCCCAGGTAGTGGGAGTGTGGCGGATAGCAGTGGGGCCAGATGGGGAAGTTGGGGTAGGCTTAGACAAGCAGACTCCCTGCTTGTCTGTGGACAGGAAGCAGGGTTGGGTCCCCCTGACACTTGTACGTGTGTGTGCACGGAGCGTGTGTGTGTGTGCATATGAGCATGCATGTGCACATGCGTGTGCAGGCCAGGCCGGGACTCACGCTGCTCACACCGCAGGCCCACATAGCCGGCTTCACACACACACAGGCCACTGACGGCGTCACAGCCCCCGTGGCCCACACTGCAGTTGCAGGCGTAGCTGCAGTCAGGTCCCCAGTGGCCACTGTCACAGGCTGCAACAGAGCAACAGAGGCTGGTCACCCTGCGCAGGTGACCGCAGCCAGATCAGGGGTGGGGAGGGATGCCTGGACGCCAGGCCACCTACCTCTCTGGCAGCTGAGGCCTGTCCACCCAGGGGCACAGCTGCACCGGCCGGTCACCGGGTGGCAGAGCCCATCGTTGGCACAGGAGCACCGCGTCTGGCAGCCGGGCCCAAACCAGCCGGCGGGGCAGGCTGCAGGCGGAGACAGGCTGAGTATAGCTGAGGCCAGACATGGGGCTGGCCGGGATTGCGGGCAGGGCTGAGGTGGGGGCAGCAGGCACTCACCATCCTGGCAGCGGCTGCCCGTGAAGCCGGGGCGGCACAGGCAGGCTCCAGTCTCTGGTGCACAGGTGGCGTCGTGCTCACACAGCGGGCAGATCTCCTGGCAGCCAAGCCCCCAGCGGCCCTCGGGACAATCTAGCACCACCCCCCCACACACACACAGAGGTAGTCAGTCCCCCCAGGCCTTGCTGGGCCCACTAGGGAGCAGGGACTTCTCTTCCCAACTGAGCCATCCCAGAGGAGGGAGGGGGGCAGGTCATGGGAACCCCTAGTCGACTCACAGGCTGTAGACTTCAGGGCATTCACCCCAGGGGGAGACCCCCTGCCCCAGGATGCTCAACAAGCAAAAGGGGGATCCCCAGAAGAACCAAGAGACCCACATGCAGGGATAGGAGCTTAGAGGACCCGCCACAGATGGGGAGGGTGGGGGGCCACTGGCCAAGCTGTCCCCGTGGCTGACAGTTCCCAGTGTCCCCTCTGCGGGCTCGGCCATGCGGCAGCCACTGACACCCACGTCCAGACCCGAGGCTGGTGGTGTGAGCTCTTGGAGCTGCTGTGGGCGGGCCTGGGGTCTGCAGGGCTCCAGGGCTGGGGTCTGCACAAGCGGCCATGCATTGTGCGGCACAGGGAGCTGAGGGCGCCCCAGGCCACGGCTGCCACTCACCTGCCCCACAGTCGTCCCCAGTCCTCCCCGGCGGGCACAGACACTGCCCTGTGACCCGGTCGCAGGGGGCGCCCCCGCAGGAGCAGGAGCCTGAGCAGTTCTGGCCGAACGTCCCTGCCGGGCACTCTAGGGACAGGGAGCGGAGAGCCTCAGGGCCCCCACGCAGAATGGCCCTCCTCCCCTGACCTCCACCCCACCCTGCACCTGCCCCCCCACCTGCCTCCCCGGAACCTGCCCCGCCCCTGGCACCTATCCCCCAACCTGTCTCCTCACCTGTCCCCCAGTACCTGCCCTCTGCACCTGTCCCCCCTCACCTGCCCCCCACCTACCACCCTTGGCACCTGCCACACCCTCACCTGCCCCCCCTCACCTACACCCTCACCTGCCCCCTCACCTGCCCCCCCTCACCTACACCCTCACCTGCCCCCTCACCTGCCCCCCCTCACCTACACCCTCACCTGCCCCCTCACCTGCCCCCCCTCACCTACACCCTCACCTGCCCCCTCACCTGCCCCCCCTCACCTACACCCTCACCTGCCCCCTCACCTGCCCCCCCTCACCTACACCCTCACCTGCCCCCTCACCTGCCCCACAGGGTTGCTGGACACAGCCTGGGTCCCCAGGGTGATGAGGGCAGTCACAGAAGGGGACAGGAGATGGGGACATGGGGCAGGGAAAGGCTCACGTAGGGGAGTAGTAGTGAGGGGCAGCCTGGAGGCTGCAGATGGCAGGGCCTGTGGGGGGTGAGCCACAACCCTGGAGAGTGGTGGCAGGCCCGCTCTGCCTTCCTTCCTCCCACTGTGGTCCACCCTGGGAACCCCATGTGGTCACCGCGTGTTCAGGAGTGAGAGAAGCCTGGGAAGGAGGGGCCAGTGGCTCTGGGCCCAAAGCAGGGCTTCAGGAAAGAACACAGGGATCCGGAGCCTCACCCCACCCATATGAGCTGCAGTAGCGGCTCCAGTGTCCTGGCAGGGGCCCCTGTCCACCCACACCTGCTTGACTAGGGCGGTAACCCGGATGGTGAGAGGCCCTGCCGGCCCCAGCACCATGTGGCCGCTGCGATGCTGCTGTTAGGGAAGTTCCGGGCCCTGGAAGGCCAGCCGGGCACCTGGAGTGGGCAGGCTGGGGCCCACGCTCCACACCAAAGAATCAGACACCCCCTCTCTCCCACCACAACACTCAGCAGGACTGAGAATTGAGGACGCGCCCTGCCCGGGTAGGGGGAGATGTCAGCAGGAATGGTGTGGGGTCCCAGGCCTGAGGTGTCCCCGGCCCCGAGATGGGCTCTGGGCAAAGGTCACGCCCCTTGAACCCTTGCCCTGAGGGCCCACACCTACGGGCACCTGCTCGCCCACAGGACCGCAGGCAGCACACACGCTGGGCGCACATGCAGGCACCCAGGCAGCGTGGACCGTGGCAGGGAGGCCCAGCAGGGCACATGGAGCTGTCCCGCCATCTGGGGGGTCCCCACTCCACTGACGGGCAGACGTGTCTGGGGCACGGATGCTTTCCAGACCTGACAGCGGGGAGCCCATCACTGCCGTAAAGACGCGTCATGTCCCGCCGCCCATCCCTGGGGCTCTGGATGCTTTTGAGGAAAAAAGGGAAAGGAAGACAAAGAAGGCCAGCAGAGAAGGATGGGGGCGAAGGCCCTTCGGGTCTCAGTACTCAGGCCGCCTTGGAGGGTACTGCTGGGGAGCGGCCGCTGGCGGGAGTGGAGGAAGGGGAGGGCGCAGAGAGAAGTCAGGGCAGTCACGGAGCCTGAGCCCCCATTCAGTAGGCAAGGTCCACCAGCTCCCATGCTGGTTCATGGATGGGATGACATGCCTGGTTGTTGAAGGCCCTTAAGATCACAGAGCCCCCGCCCAGAGTGTAGGTTGGGCTTGTGGGGATACTTGGTTTTCAAGCTGGGTTCTGAGCCCTATACACACCCCTCCTGCACCAAGGGACTCTGAGAGCCTAGACCATCCTGGGGGTCTCCAGAACCACCACGGAGAGGGAGGGTCTGCGCCTGGGTATAGGAGGAGACTGACTCCTCAGCTCGGGGTGGACAGTGGCCCCCAGGCCCTCCTTGTCCCTGAGAGGGGACTCGGACCACTGCCTCCAGTGGGAGTCACACCAGTCACACTGTAGGCCCCCTCTCCACTTCCATCTGCCCTGGCTGATGGGTGAGGACAGTGTGCCCTGCTCCAAGGGAGGTTCCGACCTGTCCACCCTCCGCTGGTAGCCACGGCAGTGCCGATGCTCACAGCAAGGGCTCCCCCATATAAACGAGGACCCCCCACCTCCAGCCTCTCCCTTCTTGGCACCCAATCACACTGTCCCAACCTCGGCATCCATGTGGAGGGCCTACAGTCATCACCCACACCCCATGCCGGCACCTCCAGCCCAGGCCTCTCGAGACACCTCCCCTGGGGGCAACTGCCTCTGTCCTGCCTGCTCGGACCCACCAGGAAGGAGCCCCCGCCGGCTGCCAGCACAAGGTGTGCCCAGTCTGTCCCATGATAGAAGGAGTGAACAAGCAAGGAAGCGAGGGGATGACCCGGGAGTGGTACCAACCCTTCCAGGCCGCTGTGCACATGCGCACGCACACACACAAAGTGCACACGCGTGTGCACACACACACACGAGTTCCCACCCACTTGGGTGCACAGGGACAGGCAGACCTGTGGCTGAGTCGCCACTGCATGACCAGGGTGGGGACATGGCAGTCAAGGTGCTTGCAGAGCCAGGCTTTAGGTCTGACCCGGTACCCAGCTCCAGCACTTCTGGTGCCTGGCGCCCTGCACGGCCAGATAGTCTGCACCCTACCTGGGCACTGGGGCCACTCACCTTGGCTGCAGTCCTCCCCGTGGTAGCCAGCGGGACACTGCTTCCCACACTCGCCACTGACAGGGTTGCAGGCCACGCCCGGGGGGCAGGTGCACGCCTGTCGGCACCCTGGCCCAAAGAAGCCCGGCTGGCACTCTGCGGGGACAGAGGGGAGAGGCATCTGTAAGGTTCCAAGGGCCCTGGGGCCTGTCCCTCTCTCCTGAGGTCTGTCCCCACTCCCCTGGGGCCTGTCCCCTCCCCTGAGGTCTGTCCCCTCCCCCGGGGCCTGCCCCCCTCCCCTGGGGCCTGTCCCCTCCCCTGAGGCCTGTCCCCTCCCCTGGAGTCTGTCCCCTCCCCTGGGGCCTATCCCCCCTCCCCTGGGGCCTGTCCCCTCCCCTGAGGTCCTCCTCCTCCCCTGGGGTCTGTCCCCTCCCCTGGGGCCTGTCCCCTCTCCCCTGGGGCCTGTCCCCTCCCCTGGGGCCTGTCCCCTCCCCTGGGGCCTGTCCCCCCTCCCCTGAGGTCTCTCCCCCCTCCCCTGAGGTATCTCCCCTCTCCCCTGGGGCCTGTCCCCTCCCCTGGGGCCCTCCTCCTCCCCCAAGCCCTGTACTCACCATCCTGGCACCGCTCGCCCCCAAAGCCCGCCTTGCAGGCACAGCTGCCGTCCCTCTTATCGCACGCACGCGTGTTCTGCTGCTCACACTTGCACTCCTCCGAGCAGCCCGGCCCAAAGGCCCACGGTGGGCAGGCTACACCCCAGAACCCACTGTGAGGGGGGCCTGCCCACTGCCAGTGCCCGCCCCAACCCAGATCTCCAGTCCCGTCCACCGAGTCGTATCTGGGACTCCATACAGAGTCGCTGGTGCCCAGTTTGCAGAGGAGAAACAGGCTCACAGAGAGGCACTTCCCAGGCAGGGAATGCCTGGGACCCCCATTGCCTCCCTCTAAACAATCCTCCTACAAGAGCTGCTGAGGGAAGGCCTGCCGGCCTCTCCCTCCACCATCCTGGGTGTCTGCAGACCCAGGCAGTGGGGGCGACCCACTGGGGGCTCAGGACTTGCTCCCAGGAAACTCCAAAAGCCAAGACAAGCTCTGTGCCCTGAAGCTTCTGAGGGTGGGGCCCTGCCCCTGCCCAGGCCTGCAGGCCACCCACCAGCCTGATTGGGGCGGGGTCGCCCACCTGGATGCCCTGGCATCCAGCACAGTCCAAAGGACTTTGAGTCCGCAAGCCCCTCACCCCAGCCGGGGACCTCGCTGAGCCCCTGTGTCCTCATCTGTGAAGGCTGAGGATCAAACACAAGCTGGACCCAGACAGGAAGAACACAGCCCACTGGCCCCGCACCCACCCCCAGACCCAGGCGCCCAGCGGTCAGCGGGACTCACTCAGGTGGCAGAAGCGGCCGTACAGCCCCGGGTCACAGAGGCAGGCCCCATAGAGGCGGTGGCAGCGGCCCCGGTTGGCACAGTGGCACTTCTTACGGCAGTGCTTGCCATAGAAGCCTTTGGGGCAGCCTGGGGAAAGGGGGGGTCTCTTGACTGCCCACCCAGACATGGCCTCCCACCCATGGAGAGGCTCCGAGGGGGAGGCTTAGCACCCAGTACAGGAGCCTGGAGGGGCCTCGGCCACCAGGGTACAGCCATAGGGCTTCAGGGCCACCAGCAGCCCAAGGACCCTGTACCCTGGACAGAGAGGGTCCCTGGGGGCTGGCAAGGGCATCGGGGGGCAGGGCAGGATGAGGTGAGCCCCATGAATGTGGCCGTCTGCCCTTGCCAGCCTGTGCCCCCAGGGTCTGTGGCCCCGGACGGTGGTCAGACCAGAGGCCATCACATCTTCACCACACGCAGGAGTGACTCCAAGAGCCCACTCTCTCCATCTGACCAGCACCGACAGCATCCTGGTGCCTGTCCCTCTGTGGTCATCGAGCCTGGCCTCCGGACCTCACAGAGGGAAGGACACAGGCCCAAGTTCAAGGGGCCCAGGGCCAAGGCGGGGTTGTGGCCCTCCTACCCCAATGCTTCACTCAGACTCAGCTCTGCCCCTGGCCCGCCTACTGAAGGGCTTCAGGGAGCTGCATGGTGACCCCAAGGAACGTCCACATCCTGACCATCAGGACCTCCAGGCGGGACCATCCTGGACTGTTCCAGCAAGCCTAACCCAACAAGTGTCCTTAGAAGAGAAAGGAAAGGGAGGCTGGACACAAAGAGGCCACGGGGAGACAGAGGCAGAGGCTAGAGGGACAGTCATGAGCCCGGGGCACCTAGAGTCTAGGAAACTCTAGAAGGGTCCCTGAGAGCCGGGACGAACTTTCTCCAGGTCACCTGCACAGCTGCACTTTACCCACAGGACCCTGACTGAGACCCAGCCTCTGGGAAGCCACACCACGTCATCACCAGGGGAAGCACTGAGATGCAGGCCCTTTATCTGCCAGGAGTCCCATGGGTCCATTCAGGACCCATCACACACACATGAATTTAAAAGACGCTTGTTCCTTGGAAGGAAAGGTATGGCCAACCTAGGTGCACATTATTAAAAAGCAGAGACATCACTTTGCTGACAAAGGTCCGTATAGTCAAAACTATGGTTTTTCCAGTAGTCATGTATGGATGTGAGATTTGGACCATACAGCAGGTTGAACACCAAAGAACTGATGCTTTCAAACTGAAGTTGGAGAAGACTCTTGAGAGTCCCTTGGACGGCAAGGAGATCAAACGGGTCAATCCTAAGGGAAATTAACCCTGAATATTCACTGGAAGCACTTATGCTGAAGCTGAAGCTCCAATACTTTGGCCGCCTGAAGCGAGGAGCCAGCTCATTGGAAAAGACTCTGATGATGGGAAAGACTGAGAGCCCGAGAAAGGGTGTAGAGGATGAGATAGTTGGATGGCATTACCGACTCGACAGACATTGGTTTGAGCAAGCTCTGGGAGATAGTAAAGGACAGAGTAGCCTGGTGCACTGCAGCCCACAAGGTCCCAAGTCGGACACAACTCAGCAACTGAACAACAACAACAACAACACACATACAGCTTCCAACAGGCAGTCTGCTTTCAGCTCTCATTCAGAGTAGAGATGGCAGATCACAGGAAAAGAAACAGGGATGCTGACCAAACTGAGAAGGTGACCAGAGAGAGGAAGCAGAAAGACCTCCCCTGCCACCCCACACGGGCCACCTAGGCAGTGGGAACGGTCCACCAATTGTTGCCATTGCTGTTAAGACAGGAAGTCCTTGATATACTAGCTATAGTTGCCAGCAAAAGAAGCAGAAATGTAAAGGTCTGAAGACTTTAAAATGAAGCCTCAGGCACCTGGGAAACTTCTGTGGACTCTAGTCCCTCCAAAAATGTTGCAACTTCAGAGTTATAAAAGATGTTAGTGTCATCCCATGAAGCCACAGCCCAGGTGTGCTCCCTTCTGCAAATCCCACCCAGTCATCATGTAGCTCTCCTTGAATGCTTCCAAGAACAGGGAGCTCACTACTTCTCAGGGGACTCAGTTACAAAAGTGCTATTCTTCCCACAAGTCCTCACCACCTGTGATAGTCAGGCCCTGTGAGAATAGCCAACAATAACAACTCAGTGCTTCTTGCACTAAGGGGCTTCCTCTGTAGCATACCGTCACTTTCCCCACCCCTGCTGAAGAAAGGGGACTGGGAGCCAAGAGGTGGTGCCTGCCCCTCACCTCCACCCCATGGATGAACCCAGAGGTCAAGGAGGGGCTGCACCCACCGTCCTCACAGCGGGCTCCGCTGACCCCTGGGGGGCAGCGGCAGGCCCCCGTCACAGGGTCACAGGTCCCACCGTTCTGACAGCTGCAGGAGAAGCTGCAGTTCTTCCCGAAGGTGTCCGGAGGACAAGCTGCAAGGGGAACAGAGGAGCTCAGGGTCGTCGGCCTGCAAAATGACCCTACACTCAGAAGCCCCTCCAGAGATACAGACACCCTCCTGGGGGTCAAGCCTCCAGTTCAGAAGCAACTTCCCAGAGCAGCACCCAGCGGCACTTGTGCCCTGGGGCCCCGCCCACATGTACGGCAGACATCACTCATCAGTCCTCCATCCTCTCCCTCTGAACTCCAACAGGTCCACCTTCTCGACCAGCACTTTTGGTCACTATGGCCTCTGAGACTAGGGGGTTGCTGGGCGGGGAGTAGACATGCCCTGGATAGAGAGTGGGAGACAGCAGTGTTCAAATGTGCTTCAGCTGCCCACTTGCTGTGTGGCCTGGGGAAGTCACCTGTCCCCATGGAGATTCTAGCAATGACTGGCCTGCCCAACCACTGCTCTTCATCAGACCCCTTTTTGTCTCAGTTAGTTGTTGGCTTGCTTGTGGCTGGACCCTCATCAACAGTGACATCTGTGAGAGACAGACACCAGGCTCTGCGAGCCCCCAGGGTCTCACAGCACCTGGAAGAGAACCTGGCGTGGAGAAGGCAGCCGGGAGACCCTGAAGGAATGAGTGAATGGCAGGACCGGGGAAGCCCCTGCCCAGGACGGTAGGAGGAGTGGACTATCCGTGCCGTGCAGGTCCTGGGGCTCCTGGGCCCTGTCCCCCACGTGGCCCCACCCCCACAGCAGCCTCACTCTCATTGCAGATGAGCCCGGTCCAGCCGTCGGGGCAGTCACAGCCGTCCAGGCTGGGGAGGCAGGTTCCCCCATTCCTGCAGTCATCACAGGTAAAGCTGCAGTCTGGGCCAAAGGTATCATCCAGGCAGACTGGAGGATGGATCGAGAGAGGGGCCTCAGAGCCTGGCCCCTGGCCCTGGACCCCACCCAGAGAAGGGGACACGGGGCATCCTTGGGCCATGCAGGCCCCATGCAGGTGAACGGAGACAAGGGAGCCAAAAGGGGCCAGAAAGGGCCCTAAGTGGGCAGCCAGGCTCAGCGCCGGACGCACTGGGCAGACTGAGGCAGCCTCTTGGCCTCTCTAAGCCTTGGTCAAACGAGGCGCTCACAGGAAGACTTCCTCATGCCCAAGATGGTAGGTTGGGCAGCAGCTGGGCCCGGGGGTGCTGGCACGGAAGCCCGGGGACGGGCCCACCTCTCACCAAACTTTTCCTGCAGTGTGTGTTCGCCCCGCGCCTCGGCCTCTTCCTCCTCAGCCCCAACGTAGTCGTCTTGGAAGAGGTGGGGCAGCGCGTCCTGGAGCACCGCGACGTGCAGTGGGGGCCGCCCCAGGGGCAGGTGGCCGTCCAGGACCAGCTCGGGCAGCTCCAGGGCTGGGCGGGGCACAAAGGCCCCTGAGCCCCTGCCGCCCACCTGTCCTCCTCAGGATTGACTCCCCCGCCCCTCGGTGCCACCCCGGGACCCCCACCTACAGACCCCACCGTGCCCCTCCTCACCCTGGTCACCAGCAGTGAGCCTGCTTCTCAGGACGGAGGAGGCCCCAGGCCCGGAACTGAGGACCTGACTCTGCCACGTCCACCCCAGCTGCCCTGGCTCCCGCACTAGCCCGAGGGACCCTGAGCGTGGAGAGGGCGTGGGGACAGGACAGCCCTCTGCTCCGGACACAGTCCTCAGTCCCTGAAAGACGTCCCTCCTCTCGTCTGGGAGGGGCTGAAGCTGGACCACTGGGACCCCTGAGTAACACCTTGCCTGCGGGCCCCTGTCTGTCCAGCCCATCCCACAGTGGGAGGCTGGTCTAAGGTGAGGTCCATCCAGCTGGGAAGCAGGGAGTGGGGCCTCGGTGCTGCAGGAAGACAGGGTCCCATGGGGCCAGGCGGAGACTCACAGGTGCAACCCCTGCGGTCCTCGTCCAGCCGGTAGCCAGCCTCGCAGGAGCACTGGAAGGAGCCAGGCAGGTTGGCGCAACGGTGCTCGCAGCCGCCGCGGCCAGAGGCGCACTCATCCACATCTGCAGGCAAACCCAGGGCCACTGGCGCCCATCCTCCAGGGGTCGGGGCCTTGGGGAGGTCCTCCCCCACTCCCCCCGCCCATGGGATGGGGGCCTGCTGGGCAACAGCCATGCCACAGCCATCCTCCTGCCCTCCTACTCGAGAAAGGCCAGGCTGGGGCAGCCGGGGGTGCAGGCCCAGCCCAGACAGAAAGACAGTGACCACACGGGGGAGGGAACAGGCGGGCCTCCACAGGCCTGCAGACAGCATGAGCTAAACAAACACCCAGAGACAGAGTGCTGGGCGGGGGCCAGAGCCCACCCCGTGTCATCCTTAGGACAGTCCACTCCCCAGCCACCCCAGCCGCCCACCACTCACCCTCACACCCACAGCCATCCGCACTGAGCCGGTAGCCAGCATAGCAGCTGCACTCGTAGCCGCCGGGGCTGTTGGTGCAAACCTGCTGGCAGCAGGGGGAGGCGGCACAGTCGTCGACGTCTGCAGGGCACACACCACAACCCGGCTGGCACCAGTGCCACCCACATGCACGCCTTCCACAGCACGGCAGTGCACACACACCTGCACACAGCCACACGCACACCTCACACCTACACACCACATGCATACCTGTACACAACTACCTGCATACAACCACATGCACAACTACCTGCACACCTGTGCACAACTACCTGCAGGCAACCACATGCACACACACACCTGCACATGACTGTATGCACACCTGCATGTGAGTTGCACGTACTCACCCACAATCACAGAGGCACCCAGGTATGTCCCTGGCCCTGCACACGCAGACAGACCAGGACCCAGGTCGCAACCCAGGGCCATCCCGCCTGCTGTGGGAGCAGGGTGGGGACTGGCAGGTGCTGGGGAGTCCCCACTCACGCAGAGCAAATGCTCACGTGCCACAGTACGTGGGTGTTGACCCAGTGGCTGAGCAGAGCTGCAGGTGGACATGGGGCGGTGGGTGCTCGGCGGGGTCGTGATGCTGCCTCTCACCAGGCCCCCTCGTGCCACCCCCACCCCTGCCAAGGGCCAAGGGAACAGGACTGGAGGCAACAGAAGGGAGGTTCCCATTCACAGCATCAAACACGGGCACTGCCCCAGTGCAGCAGCAAGCTCTGGCTTGGGGGACAGCAGTCGGGAAGGAGGCGGCTCGCACCGATACACGTCCTCTGGTCCTCGTCCAGCTCGTAGCCACGGGGGCAGGTGCAGACAGGGCCCGCGCTGCTGTGGCTGCAGCCGTGGGAGCAGCCACCGTTGTCCGCCTCACAGCTGTTCACGATCTCCATCTCGATCCCTGCGGCCAGACCCACCAGGGACGTGGGACCAGGGCTGGGGCGACACCCCGAGCTGGCGTGGTCCTCCCACCCTAGCTGCTGCCAGTCTGCTGGGAAACAGGCTGCACGGAGCTCCTGGGCCCGGTGGACCCTGGAACCCTGTCCTCCTGGGGTCCCTCTGTCCTCCCCCATCTCCCAGGACCCACAGTCAGCCCCGAGGCCCAACACTGCCCTCGACTGACAAGGAAGTTCTGCCCCTCGGTCAAAGCAAGCCGACAGTTGTAGCGGGCTGGGGAGCCATGTGGCATCTCCACGCCCGGTGGTGCTGTCGCCCACTGTCCACTCACGGTAGCACTGCCGGCCATCAGCACCCAGCTCGTAGCCCGCATTGCACACACACTTGAAGGAGCCATGCGTGTTGAGGCAGCCGTGGGCACACTGGGCCAGGCCTGTGGCACATTCATCCACATCTGATGGGAGAGATCGGGGGTGAGGGGCGCTCTGGGACACTAGCCTGAGAGGCTCAGCCCCCAGGGGTGGTCTCCACCAAGGGGTCAGGACCCAAGCACCCCATGCCAGGAGAGGGCCCCGGTCCCTCTCCTGCTTCCCTCTGAGCATCTTTGCTTTCACCAACACACTCCAGGGGCAGAGCTGTGCTCTGTCCCAGGGCGAGGAGGGCACGGCTAGAAGTCTGGGTTCAGGCTCCACCAGCAGCAGTGGGTGCTCTTCTGCCTCTCTGAGCCCACCGTCCCTGAGCAGCTGTGTATGTCTGCTCTTGCCAAGCCTCCTCCCATCTAGGCCGAGCACAGAAGGGGCCTTTCGCCGCCAGCTTCCAGGGGGCCAGCAGGAGAAAGCGCACTCTGTCATCCAGGGTCAAGCTACAGCTTTCTCCCTGTGGCTGTGTGGCACTGGCCTGGGGATCTGAACCCTAGTGTCCCCGACAACTGCCTTTGTCCCACCACCTGAGAGTCCTTGGAATGAAGCTGACCCTCAGCCTCATTTCCCACTGGGTTCTCTGAAGCCACTGCATCCAGAACGCCAGGACATGCCCGCGTCACATTGGCAGTGATGCCTAGAACACTTTCCCGATAGTGATGCGGAACAACAAGCTTCTATACCCACAGACTTGTCTCTCTGATGGCCATCAGGCAGGACACCTCAGGAGATGACCACTGCATGCCTGGAGGCACCACACCACTTCAGAGATTCACCCCAAGAGTCAGGGGGGACAGGCACAGACCCCTCCCCTAGGCTGTTCATCCAGAACCACGTCAGGGAGGAGCAGGGACACCCAAGTCCTGAGATGGGGTAACTAACACTGCATAGCGGATGCCCATGCAGCCAGGAGGTCAGAGCACATTCTGGAAAGCTGCGCCCACCATGCTCTGGGGTGATGCCATATGCACCCATTAACCAGCAAGCCTAGAGACAGCCTGGAAACTGGTTCGGGGATGTCACTCAGGTCACAGTGATAACCCTTTCTCTAATAAGCAGGTTGTTGTTTAGTCACTAAGTTATGTCTGACTCTTGTGACCCCATGGACTGTAACCCTCCAGGCTCCTTTGTCCATGGGATTCTCCAGGCCAGAACACTGGAATGGATTGCAATTTCCTTCTCCAGGGGATCTTCCCAACCCAGAGATCAAACCTGCATCTCCTTCTTGGCAGGTGAGTTCTTTACCACTGAGCCACCAGGGAAGCCCTAACAAGCAGGTACTGCTTAGCTAACACCTAAGAGAAATATTTAAAATTAACAAGCCACCCTGAGAACTGTCTTCCTGCAGACACGAGACTCTCTTGGGGAGCAGTTCCTTGAGTTCCTCCTCTCCATCTCCCACCCTCCACCCTGCCCCCCTCACCCCAACCCCAGTCCTAGAGATGACCCTGCATCATCCCAGGTCAGCCGAGAGCGACGACACGGGAACTGGCCCTGCACACACAGGCCCCTGAAGGGGGATGTGAGGAGGTGAGCCCGGCACCGCTGACCTTGACTGGCCCTAGCACAGGTGGGGCATCCTACCTTCGCAGGCCTTGCGGTCCGCTGCCAGCTGGTAGCCCACGTGGCACTCGCAGTGGGCAAGGCCCCGGAGTGCCCGGCACCTGTGCATGCAGCCTCCGTTCCTGTCCGCGCACGGGTTTCTCCCTGCAGTCATGGCCAGGAGGAACGGGGACAAAGGGCAGAGGTGGAGGGCCCAGCAGGTTTGGGGTCCCCACTCCAGGGCCTCTGGTGAGCCCCCACCTGGAGCTCTCACCCCTCCTGCTCCGTTCTGATGGGCTGGGACGTGGACTAGGAGTCAGGGGAGCCCCAGGGACTCCCAGACAACTCCAGAGAAGACAGAGGGCACCGGCCAGGCCCGCCCTGAGTGGGCGCATGGCCAGCTCCCCCACCCCTCTTCTCGTCAGAGCCCTAGCCCCGTGAACTCGTGCCACCCTGCCCCACCACTGGCCCACACTCACTCCTGACCCCCTGGGACCTGGAAGGCCAGGCAGGGTGGGAGGGACTCCCTCAGTATCAGCCCTGCTGCCCCCACCCATTCCCACTTCTCAGGGGTCTCCTGGGCCTGCTCCACCTTCTCCATCAGCAGAGCCCCCCTTTCATGACCCACAGCCCTGGGACCCCAGGGCAAGGAGCCAGACAGGGCCTGGCCAGTCTCCTCTGCCCAAGGGCCAGGGCTGGGGCCTGCATGCCCACACCAAGCCCAGGGCAGGCCTCAGAACTGAGACAACACAGGATGCCCTTCCTCCTCATCCCGGTACCCCCATCCTGAGCTTCCTGCCCCCAAAGATGTGAGATCCCAGAGCACAGCTTGATGGGCTTCCTCCCCAGGGCCCAGGGGGACGGGATGATGCCCCATCAGTCTCCACAGCCAAGGAGCTCCCTGTGTGATCAGAGCTCAGCCAAGGGCGACGACATGGACCGGACCCCTCAGACCTTCCTGCAGCACCAGTGGCCAAGGGACTTGGGCTGCGGGACCTCCGGGCAGGTCTGAGGGAGTGTGGAGACGGGCGGGGGTCCCAGTGGAAGGCCCAGCCCCAATCCCCTGCCTCCACCCCCGGGACACTCACGGACACAGCGCCTGCCATCCTCCTGGAGCTGGAACTCGGGCCGGCACTGGCAGCGATGCTGGGTCACTGTGAGCTGGATGCAGTTGTGCTGGCAGCCACCATTGCCCACGGCGCAGGAGTTGATGGCTGGGGGCCCGAGAGGAGTCAGGTCACCCCAGGAGGACGGCCTGGCTGAAGGGCCCCACCCCAGGCAGGCTCCGAGCACCTCCTATAGGAAGCTTCCGGCACCTCCAAGCCCCTCCCTCCTTCCTGTCTGCGTCCCAGAAGCAGGGGCTTTGAGAGGACAACACAGCTCCCGTCCAGGTCACAGGCCTGGCATTGCTTCTTGGCCCACACACAGGACACACAGGACCATGGTCCGAATCTGGGTCCTCTGGCCCAGGCTGCCTCAGGACTGGATGTAGGGAGGCACTGCAGAGCACCCCAATGGAAGCCCAGACCCCACCCCCACCCCAGGCACAGAACACAAAACATCAGGCCCTGCTGAGGGTCAGGGCATCCGGAGCTCAGAGTCCAGCAGGCTGTGAGGCTCCCTGGAGGAGCAGGAGGCCAGCAGGGGCTGGGGAAGACCCAGACACTCCACTGTTGGTCATCAGGCCAGGGCAGAGGGGCAGGCGTGGGCCTCCTGGACAGCCACCATGACCTGCGGGCCTAGCCCCCAGCTCCTATCGGACCAGTGCAGCATCTGCCCACTCCAGGTGGGGCCTTACCCCCACCTGACCTCACCCAGACCCCACTCCTCTCAGCAGCTGTGGGGACAGCACTTGGTGAGGCCAGAGGCAGGGACCCCCATCCCAGTCCTAGGATGCCAGGGGTCCAGGCGCTCCTGCTCAGGCCCACCTCGAGCAAGCCTCTTATGGGTCAGGCTAGCCAAGTGGGTGCCTATGTCCTGGGTGGATGTGTTGAGGCTGTGCCCACAAAGGGGGCACTGGGTGAGATTGGGCACCTGGGGAGGATACCTGGTCTCTGGTAGCTCCACCAAGTCGCTGGTAGTGGCCTTGTGGTTAGGGAGGGACAGGTCCCCAGCTCTGCAGTGAAGCTTCAACGATGCACCGCGGGGAGGTGCAGATCACTGCCCAATCGGCCTGGGCCAGAGCAAGCCTGAGTGCTGGTATTAAACTCTGTGACTGCTGGGGGGCAGGGATTCACCCCCAGATGCCACCTGTGCTGTTATCACAGACTTCAGGGGGGCCTCAGGGCCCGAGTTTGGAGAGGCCATTCACTGTCAGTGGGTCTGGGGGCCAGGAGCGGCCCACCCCACCACTGAGGCCCATGGAGCTAGGAGCAGCCACGTCCGCACGCAGAGCAAGCGAACAGCCTCAGGGCTCAGAGTGGCCAGGCCCACACTGTCTGCCAAGAACAAGGCTTCCTTCAAAGCAAGTATGCTCCCCAAAAGCCAAAACACAGCACTTGCCATCCCCCTGGTTCTCCTCGTGGAGCATGGCAGGGAGGAACTGGAGCTGAGGGTACCCCCGGGGGCAAGCGAGCCCTGCTCTTGGGGTGGGGTGAACACCTGAGGCGGCAGTGCGGGCTCTGTCTCCTGGCCATACCTGCCTCTGCCACATGTCGAAGGGGAGCAGCAGAGACCCGAGACCCGGGTAGGATGGAGGCAAGCAGGATGGCCACGTCTCTGGCCCCAGTCAGCCTCTAGGCTCCCTCTCCAGCCACCCACCCCCGAGGCCCCGCCTGCCGCCCCCGAGACAGCTCTGCTTAACCCACTGACATCAACTCCAGAGGCTTCCAAGCGTGGCCTGAGCCGGCCCATTCCTGGGGCCCTGTCTGTGTTTACAGCACCAATTGCATCCCGCCCGGAGCTCATAACAGGAACCAGAAGCCCCTCCTGGCAGCGCTGGGCAGGCACATGGAGAGAGGGACTCAGAGCCCAGGCCAGGAGAACGGCTGGGCAGACACTGCGGCTGCAAGGACGTCCCACAGAGCTGTGGCAGGAGACCCGAGACGGGCCCAGGGGTAACCTGGCACTGAGCCCACAGGAGCCCACCGGGGAAGAAATCCCAGGCAGGTGGGGGCCACGGAGGTGTCCAGCTCCCTATGCAGCCTCGAGCCTCCCCGACACCAGCCCATGTCTCTCGCTCTGCTACACAAATCCTAACGTTTCAGATGCTCCCAAGCTGTGCAGCCCATGAAGGAGCTAAGTCCCATATCATCATCTCACACATCCTGTGCCCAGGATTCCCGGAAAGCTGAGCAAGGTAGTTTTTCTCAGGTGCTGGGCCGTGCAGCTCAGGGGAGGGCCAGCCTCTGCATGCCCAGTGCCTAGAGCTGGGGATAAAGCTTCCAGGCCCTCAGGCCACTGTGAATCATAGCATGGAGTCCACATTCCATTGCCCCATGCCTGAATGGACCAGGATCAGAGCTGAAGCTGCGAGCTTGTCAGAACGCAGGAGCGAGGGGGTTCCACAGTCCCTAAGGGGGCCAATGTTTGCGTACCCCTGCAATTCACATGCGCACTTCTAAAATTTAACCATCTATATGACCGTATTTGGAAGTGAAATAACGAACTGTGGTGCTGAAGAAGACTCTTAAAAGTCTTGGACTGCAAGGAGATCAAACCAGTCCATCCTAAAGGAAATCAACTCTGAATATTCATTGGAAGGACTAATGTTGAAGCCGAAGCTCCAATACTTTGACCACCTGATGCGAAGAGACAACTCATTGGAAAAGACCTTGATGCTGGTAAAGACTGAGGGCAGGAGAAGGGGATGGCAGAGGATGAGATGGTTGGATGGCATCACCAACTCAATGGACACAAATTTGAGTAAACTCAGGGAGATAGTGAAGAGCAGGGAAGCCTGGCATGCTGCAGTCCATTGGTCGGACATGACTTGGTGACTGAACAACAGCAATTCAGGTTAAATGAGGTCATAAGGGTGGGGCCCTGATCCAACAGAATTTGTGTCTTTAAAGAAAAGACATGAGGATTTCCCTGGTGGTCCAGTGATTAAGGCTCCAGGCATCCAATTCAGGGGACATGGGTTTGATCCCTGATCAAGGAACTAAGATCACACATGCCTTGCAGCCAGAAAAAGTAAATTAAACTAAAAATATTTTTTGGCTTCCCTGGTGTCTCAGACAGTAAAGAATCTCCCTGCAATGCAGGAGACCTGAGTTTGATCCCAAGATTGGGAAAATCCCCTGGAGTAGGAAATGGCAACCCCCCCCCCCCCGTATTGTTGCAGCCAAAAAAACAAATTAAAATTATTTGTTAACAATAAAGACCTCCCTTTCCCTAATATGGGAAGGAGCTTAAAAAAGAAAAAGAAAAGACAGAAAGTCTTTCTCCGTCTCTGTCCCCATGGCCACACCAGGAAGAATGTTCTCATCAGGCACTGGATTGGCAGGACCATGAGTGAGAACTGCCAGCCTCCAGAACAGTGAGAAGATAAACTTCCATGTCTAAGCAGCCCAGTCGGTGCATTGGTTAGGGCAGCCTGAGCCGACTACTGCACCTTCACTTCCCAGTTTGCAAGCACCAGAACCAGGGGACTCGCCGGTTCTAACAGAAACTGAAAGTGAAAGCATTAGTCATTCAGTCGCACCTAACTCTGCGACCCACGGACTGTAGCCCGCCAGATTCCTTCACCCATGGGATTCTCCAGGCAAGAATGCCGGAGTAGGTTGCCATTTCCTCTTCCAAGGGCTCAAACCCATGTCTCCCACATTGCAAGCTGATTCTTTACCATCTGAGCCACCAGGGAAGCCCCGGTTCTAATAGCACAGGCTACAACTCCGTCTTTCGCCAACAGGGGTCGCTCCAGCCCAGAGCCAGGTGTGAGGAAACTGGACCTTCGCGATGTCCTACGGGGAGTAGGGTCTGCTCCATCCATGCTGGTCGGCTCGCCACTGCTGGAGGTACAGGCGGTACCACCTGGAGACCAGCATCAGGTGCGTGTGAGCGCTGTGGAGGCGCAGGTGGGGCTCTGCACAGCTGACCTGCAAGGCGGCTCGGCTGGCAAGGCCCCGGCCTGGGACACCAGCACGCTGGCCCGCCCGAGCTGGCCATTCAAGGGGCTGTGCCTGGCAGGCTGGTGGCGTTAGGACAAGCCTGTTGGCTGTGTGCCGAGCCCACCAGCCCACTCTGCTCTGGCCTCCAACCCCAGCCGGTGGATCGGAGCAGGCTGGATGGCGGCTTCGTGGGTTCGTAATGACTGCCCTCAGACTGGCTTGGCTTCCAGGTCCCAAGAGCCTCACACCACGTGTGGTCAGCATATATGTACAACCCATCCTTCTAGGAATCCCTCTGTTGGTCACAGGGCCAGGATGGGGGGACCAACAAGGGGTGGCCCGCCGGCTCAGCCAGTGGGGGAGACTCATGTGGGCTTGGCCTGTCCTGTCCCCCTTGGCAGCTCACAGTTTGCCTACAGCCTGGCCTTGTGCGTCCTGCCCCATCCTCGACCCTCTGCTGGGGCCTCCACACCGCCCAGGGGCACTGTTCCCCTGCAGCACAGATTCAGCTGCTCCCACCCATGGGCCACGCTCCCTCCCACCCACCAGCACCCACATCACAGACTGTGCACTACCCAGCACCCACACTCTCCAGGCCTGGCCAGAGAAAGCAGCAAAGCCTGGACCCAGGCCCTACAGCCGCCCCGCCCAGCCCGCCCACCTCAGGACATGCACTCGCAGGTGAGGACCTGGCTCTGCAGCCCCTGGTGCACATTCCAAGGTCATCCACACTCTCACACCTCTCCCCACTCCCACGCTGTGCTCCCCACTAGGTTCTGCCCTCATAAACTCTGACTCTAAGCCCCCACCTCCTGAGGCCCCAGTCTGCCCCTGCTTCCCCACAGCATCTCTGCATCCAGCCCAGGGTCTGTGGCCACTGCGTTGGCTTCCCCAGGTCGGGGTGTGACCCTCCCGTCCCCCCAGGGCACTGACAGCCTGCAGATACAGGGCCTGGTTTCAGGCACAGCGGTGACCTCCCAGGGTGGCCTTGGGCAGGGTGGCCCTTCCTGCTCCCCATTCAGACTCAGCGGCCCCTTGGGGCTGGGAAGGCACGCTTCCTTTCAGAAACTGCAGCCCATTTTGGACCTGGAGGTGACTTGAAAACGTGCCCAAAACTGCTTCTGTGGTTTGCAGGGATGAGCTCTGCCGAAGAGCCCAGCAGTCTCCACCCCTCTGCTGCCTGCGGCTTTGCCAACGAAGCCTCCAGGGGCCCTGGCAGCCTCCCTGCCAAGGAGTCGGGGGACAGCAGGCTGTGGGGCCCTGTGTAGACCCTTGCTGTCCCCTCACCGGAGAGACCCAGACCTGGGGAAGCATCTGCCCCGAGGCCACTTGGGGAGAACCCCAAAGGCAGGCGGGGTGCAGGAAGGCCCTCCCCGTTCTGTGGGCACTGTGTGTGCACTCAGTTGCTCAGTCGTGTCTGACTCTTTGCAGCCCCGTGGACTGTAGCCTTTCAGGTCCTCTGTCCACGGGACTCTCCAAACAAGAATGCTGAAGTGGGTTGCCATTTCCTCCTCCAGGGGCTCTTACGGTGGGGCCCATCTGACTCCAGACCACCAGGGGTGCAGGCTGACAGCAGAATCCTCCCCACAGTGTCCATCCAAAAGACTCAACAGGCCTGAGGCTGAGGGGAGAAGGAGGGGACCTGCCTCTCCCCAGGGGCTGGCCCCGGGGTGTCAGAGGGACCCCTCTGCTCATTGAACCAGTGACATCGTGGCCCTCAGACTGGGCATGCTGCTCACCATGGGGGACGTTAAAGGCCAGGGTCCAGGAGGGACCTCTGGGCAGAAGTCACCCTAGCCTAGAGGAGGAGGGTTTCCCAAAGACCTGGAGCGGGTCTCTATGGGTCTACACTGGGCGCAGTGCAGCATGGCACAGAAAAGAACAGGCAACCCCAGGCTCACCGCCCAGCACAGCTCTCTGCAGCTCCGTTTCCCACAGTTTGGGGAAGGACGGAGGCCAATTCCTCAGCCCTGAGGGTGAGAAGCAGGCTGGACCAGCCTGGGCCTCTCTCTGCCCACCTCTTCCCACCCCAGAGCCTGGTGGGGCGGGGGTGGGGACAAACCCAGGGGGCTCCCTGGAGGTGGAGCACCCAGGACACCAGACTGCTTCTGCTTCTTTCTCTTGGGGTCGGGCTGGACAAGAGCGGCCAAGGTTAGACATGAGGCACTCAGGGGCTTTGAGGCTGACGGTAAGATCCTTTCTGCAAATCTTCACTTTAAAAATGGAAACTTTTTGTCTGTTATTTGCAAGGGGCCTTTTATAAGGGAGGGGCCGCAGGAAGACTGTGTGCTTTCTGACTTCTCCCTGCCTCTAAAGCAACTTGAAAGAGTGTTTCAAGTCTCCCCTTGTCTGTTGCAAGGGCCCCCTTAAGCATAAACACCTTTGAAGACTTCCCAGACCCCTGGGTGCCATGAAGTGGCACCAACCTGAGAGCTCCCAGCACGTAGGGCCTTCTCGCCCTGTATGGAGGAAGAGCTGTCACATCCCCGTGGGCACCTTCTTTACTCTCACCCTCTAGCCTTTCCATAGCCCTCATTCCAAGCTGCTGAAGGGAGGGGTGCCCGGACCTGTTCCCTGCCTGCCCTGTCAGTCCCAGGAGAGCTCAGAGCACCCCTCCCTTGCCCAGAGGATCCCAGCAGGCCCCAGGGCGGGGGTCCAGGGCAGCTGTGCTCTAGTTGTGCAGCCTGCCTGCAGCTGGCCTGCGTGGGGGCGGGGACAACTGGGGAGGGGCCCAGTCCTACACTGATCTTCCCATCAATGTCTGCTGAGACCCTAGGCTGGGCTGGGCCCAGAGGGTGCCCCCACTGTGAACCTCAGACAAGGCCACTAGCTCTTCCCATGCCCTGCGCTCTGGGAGTCCTGGAGGAGAAGCAGGGAGGGCCCACACCTCTCAGCAAAGCAGCAGGGAGCTCCAGCAGCCTGGCAGGGCCCAGGCAGTGCCTTTCACTGGGCCCCACCTGGAGCACCTCATCTGGTGTTCAGCCGCCCTACCTACCCCAGGGCCGTAGGTCAGGTGCTTTGCTGCCGGGGAGGGTCCCTCTGCAACCCAAAGGGGCCCTTCAGGGAGAAGGGCAGGGTGCCCCTAGAGCAACTGCTTCCTGCTCTGCCTGGGAGAAAGTCCCCAGGAGACCCCTATCTGCTCTGGAAACTTGTCAGCAAAGCCCAGGCCCCCCTACAGGGAAAGCAGCCCCCAACAGACCCGGGCTGACAAACCCACATCACTCCCAGAAGACCTGGTGGTCGGCCTGCCAGTGTCAGCTCCCAGGAATTTCAGATACTTGGAATCTGCCCACAGGTGTGCGTGAGTGTGAGTGAGTGTGTGCAGGGGATGCGGCGTGTATTTCTGCTGAGATTGGAAGTTGCATAATGTGGGTATTTCACCTGCCCCCTTTGGTGGGAGCAGCCAGGAGATGGGTGGCCAGGAGGTGGGCACAAGCATCCAAGAGAGCTGCAGACCTCCTGAGGTCCTGGGGACTGTACAGTCTGGGGGTACAGAGTTGATGGTGGTAGGCAGAGGGGGTGGTAAGGTCCCAGCAGCCTCATACCAGGCTGTGCAGACCGTACTGGGGGCCCTGGCATCAGGTCTTTAGAAGACCCTGTGTTGTTCATGTTTTTCAGTCGCTCAATCGTGTCCAACTCTTTGCGACCCCAGGGACTGCAGCACACCAGGCTTCCCCGTCCTTCACCACCTCCCAGAGTTTGTTCAAACTCATGTCCTTTGAGTCGATGATGTAAGCAAATGCCACAGGTGGAGACTTCGTGAGCCCCAAGCCCAGGCGTCTCCCAGGGAGGGGCTCCAGCATGGTGATGGGCTGGGCTGGGCTAGGGGACCAGGAGCAAGGCTTTCCTCCTGGGCTGCCGAAGGGGGCTATCCCTCTCCAGTAGCGGGGTATTCCTCCTGGGCTGCCCAAAGGAGGCTATCCCCCTCCAGGAGCGGGGTACTCCTCCTGAGCTGCCCGAAGCCAGCAGCTCAAGGCCACTCTTAGAGATCGCCACAATCCTCCCAAAACCCTGACAGGCACCCTCCCCTTTGCATGCTGTTTACCCATTCTGGCAGCTCAGTGAAGACCACCATCGGGTGGACTGGGGGGATCTAGGAAGACAGGAGGGTGTCCCAGCTCAGCCCACCCTGGACCAACCCCCAGGGATGCCCTTCTCTGAGGAGAACCTGCCCCAGAGGAAGGGAGAATACAGGGGGCCCGGGGACCAGCAGCCGGGGCTGCACCCCGTTGCATTTGTCCTGAAGCACATCACAACATTCCTGCATCTGTTTCCACTTTCCAGCTCTGAAACTTTACAGGGCAGCGGCCTCGCTCCCTGAGTGGCGGCCCGGACATGTGAGCATGTCTGCCGGGGAGGGCCCCCCAGGGCTGGCGGACCGCCCTGCCACATAGCAGCGAGGCGTGAAGGAGGGAGGCTGCTCAGAGCCCAACCGGTCCCGCTCCAGGTCTCCAGGGTGGAAAGAAGGGGCTCCCCGCCACAGACTGGGAGAGAGCCCTGGCCAGGGAGGGTGACCACCAGCCCAGCCCCCAGAGAACAATCCCCAAGCAGTCTCCTGGACTGAGCGGCCAGCAGGAAGGAGCAGTTTGTGTCTGCAACACCTGTGTCCAGAGCAGCCGGGGTCAGGGGGGACAAGGACAGTGGACGCCCTCTGCTCCACACCCAGACTTCTGGACTCTACACTCTACCCTCTGCCCAGTGGGCACCCACGCTCCCCTTCTTTCCTTGGAGCCAACCGTGCTGGTAGGGGCGGCCATCAGTGGCCCCAGGCACCCCCATCAAGCCCATCCCCACAGCAAAAAGACCCCACAGAGGAAGTGAGGGTTAATACCCTACCTCTCGGTTACCCCTTCCCCGCCTGCTGCAGTCCCACTCCCAGGCTCTCCAAGACTGGGATGGGGGACCTGAGCCCAGGAAACCCAGCTCTGCAGACCAACAGCAACCCTGCACTGCCCCTGCCCCAGGCAGGGCACCACCACCACCACCCAGCAGGCACCAAGTCTCCCCATTTGGGGCAGCACAGCCGGACCTGCGTCCCTGTAGACGGATGTCCTCAGCCTCTGCAGCAGAGGGCCCTGGAGGGGATGGCGGCCCAGGGCTCCTCCCCACTGTGGGAGTCCCCTGGGAAGTGGCCTTGGCATCCCGGCCAGACTCAGCTGTGACCGCTGAGGGTGCTCAGCCCAGGTCACAGCACCCAGGGGCCCAGGGTTCGGCCTCAGTGTAGACCCCTGGGCCCGGGACATGTTCTTTCACCACCTGGGTGCCGGTGACCTCACTCAAGTGGTGCTGGCAAGGGCCCACGATGGGTGGCGAGGGCCCCTTGGCATGCCACGCTTGGCAGGATGGAGCCACTGTAATGGTGGCTGCGCTGAGCAGACAGGCCCCAAGGGGCCCATCAGTGCAGGAGTGCAGGGACCCCCTAAACCTGAGCACACCCAGAAGGGTGGGGCGATGGCTGAGGTTAGGAGACTGCTTACCCAGGCAGGTCCTGCCGTCCGCGTGGAGACGGAAGCCGGGCTTGCACTCGCAGAAGTAGGAGCCTGGGGTATTCACACACCGGTGCTGGCAGCCGCCGTTGTGCACCTGGCACTCGTCCACATCTGGGGGAGGGGGAGGACATGGGGCCAGGGTTAACGGAACCCACACAGTGGCCTCGCTCTGCTCTGGCCCCTGGGAGCAGGTCCAGCCCCCTTCTCTCAGGACACCGCCCCTGCCCGGGTGTCAGGACCCTTCCTTCTCAGGCCACGCTGTCCGCCACAGTCCCGAGTCCCTCCCCCACGCTTGCTGGAGCAGAGCAGAGAGAAGGCAGGCCCGTCTCCAACACCTGGGGCCCACCTGGGAGGAAGAGCCACCTCTAATTCTGCTTAATAATCCTCCGGGTCCACACTACATGTTGTGACTGCACCCTCCGGCTCTCACCCATCGTCCCCGTGAAAACACCCACCTTTGAGGTGCCCCTCCTAAAGCCCTAGCCATCCGAGCACACCTCTGCAGGGTCTCAAAGGCACAGGGGCAGGGGTCCTCCTGGGGGGGTCCCCAGAGCCTGCCCAGCAGCTTGTGCCTCCCATGGACAGAAACCCTGACTATCCATGCACCTGTCCCTCCAGGAACGACCTGAGATGACCCTAGGAGGCCTGGCCTTTGATCCATGCACAAACCACAGCCATGCCAGGGGGGAACCCCAAGGTGCCCCTCAAGCCTCAAGACTGTTCAGAGAGGAGATGAGACCAAGAGAACTTCTTGGAAACATGGTGACCCGGGGAGTCTTCCTTGGAATGATACCAGAATGATTAGCAGGTGGAAGGTTGAAGGTAAAGTGTTAACAGCCCCCAGTGGAGCCCCAAGGAGTCTCAGGGGCCAGAGGGCCCAGGGCATGGTGGGAGGTCTCAGGACCCAGGGCCCTCCAGTGGGGGAGTCAGCTGAGTGGTGGGGGGGGGGACCATGGGCTGACCCACACCCGCTGGGCAGGGCAGGGTGCACAGCCGCCACCCAAGGGGCTCAGAAAGGAGACCCCGTCCCCTCTGAGCTCAGATTCCTCTCTGTGACCCCTTCAAGGTCCCTGAAAAGGAAAGCGACTGCATGGAGAACAGCGCTGCATATACAGTAAGGGCTTAGCAAAGTTAGGGGGAAGAGGCACCCTACGTGCGCTGGCCGAGAGGATGGGTGGACTGACTGGACCCCAGTGTGTCTCAAGTGGCCTCCCCGGGCAGAACAGGACAGAAGGGCTATCATTTCCAGACATGGTCCCAGGGGCAGGTGTGCAGCAGACAGACCAACGGGGACCCTGGCTTCCCAAACCACCTCTCAGCTGGTCACCTCACGCTGACCTTGGGGAGTGGCTGACCACAGCAGCACTGGACCCTCAGGCCCTTGGGCACCTGGCTGGGGGGGGAGGGGGAGGGGGAGGTGGGGCCCCGTCCTTGAGCAGACGTGCAGGGAGCCAGCAGCCTGGGGGCCACAGAGACACCAAACTGATGGGCAGTCTGGGACAGCAGGTGGGGGAGGTGTGGCAGGTAAGCCCGTCATCAGCAGGGCTCCTTCATAGGCAGCCTTGACGCCGGGCACCCCCCCCCACCCACGTGACTACACTCTCAACACCCTCCTGTGGCAAGGACGGGACATTTAGATTCGAGAGGTGTCCCCAGGCTCCTGCCTAAATCACACAAGCCTCGTCTGCCCGGCCAGCCCCTTGGCACCCGGGAGCCCTTCCCGCCTCCAAAGCTGCCCTGCCTGTGACTGTGGCCGTGACCAGCGGCACAGGCAGGGGGCCATGAGGCCCAGCCAGGCTCCCCAGTGCCCACGGTTTGCTGTCAGCCTGTCCAGATTACCTGGGCCCAGCGGCACAGCTCGAGGCCTCCCCCTCCACCTCCCGGCTTACGGGTGGGCGGGCATATGTCCTCCTGCTGCAGTCCCTCCAGCTCTGAGATCAAGGCCCCTTTACTGAAATGACTCATTCAGAAAGCAAGGCAGGACTGAGTGACCGAAACCATGCCGGTCCCACTCCCAGGCGGGCCACTTGGTGAGAGGTCAGAGCTGTTCTCAGCCACCAACCGTGACCTGGAGCTGCTGACGCTGTGATGACCTTGTGACCGTGACTGCGGTCATGCTGTGACCCGAGGAGCCCAGGCTCAGTTCTTAAGGAGGGTGTGGTCAGCTGAATAACGGGCCCCCCACCCCCGCAAAGAGGACGAGATCGTCGTAATCCTGGAGCCTTACACAACGAAAGGGACTTTGCAGGTGAGATGAGAGATTATCCTGGAGCTTCCAGGTGAGTCCAAGGTCATCACACAGGCCTTACAAGTGAGAGAGGGAGGAGGGCTCCATACAGTGGAATCCTACTAAGCCATTAAAAAAATAATAATAAAAATAAATAAATAAAAGGAAACAATGCCATTGGCAGCAGCGTGGATGGACCAGGTGATCATACTAAGTGAAGTAAGTCAGACAGAAAGACAAATACCATCTGATATCACTTATACGTGGAATCTAAAAAAATAAATCTGAACTTATTTACAAAACAGAAACAGACTCACAAACACAAAAACAAACTCATGGTGACCCAATGGGAAAGGGTGGGAGAGATAAATTAGGAGTTTGGAATTAACATACACATTCCCGTATAAGAAAGCAGATAACAAGGACCCACTGGTATAGCACGGGGAACTATACTCAATATCTTGTAATAACCTATAGGACAAAAGAATCTTTAAAAGAGTATATATGTGTATATGTGTTCAGTAGCTAAATCATGTCCAATTCTTTGTGACCTCATGGACTGCAGCCCGTCAGACTCCTCTGTCCATGGGATTTTTCAGGCGAAGAATACTGGAGTGGGGTGCCATGTCCTACCCCAGGGGATCTTCCCCCCCCCAGGGATTGAACCCACATCTCCTGTGTCTACTGCATTAGCAGGCAGATTCTTTACCACTGAGCCACCCATATATGTGTGGGTGTGTGTATGTGTAACCAAACCCCTGGTGAAAGGAATGGCAATCCACTCCAGTATTCTAGCCTGGGGAATCCCACGGACAGAAGAGCCAGGCAGGCTATAGTCCAGGGGGTCGCAAAGAGTCAGACACAACTGAGCGACTGAGCACACACATAACCAAATTACTTTGCTGAACACCTGAACATTGTAAATCAACTATACTTCCATTAAAAAATAAGTATCTAAAACAACAAAAAGATGCCGCTCTGCTGGCTTTGAAGGTGGAGGAGGGGCCACAGCCAAGGAGTCCAGGTGCCTCTAGAAGCTGGATATGCGGGAAAGCAAATGCTCACCCAAAGCCTCCAGAAGGGACCAGCCCTGCCAGTACCTTCATGTTAGCCCTTCTCGGACTTCCGACCTCAGAACGGTAAGGTACCAGAGACCTGAGTGGTTTTCAGCCATCAGGTTGGGATAACATGTCCCAGAAGCCACAGTAACTGAACACAGAGGGAATACGCATCTAGTAGCCTCTCCAGTGTCAAGGAGGCTCAGACAACCTGACCTGGAAATCCAGGTTCCCAAAAGACCACTCTGGCCAGCCAGGCCACCTGACGGCCGAGGTGAGGGCCGCTGTGGTCTCAGTGGGGGCGGGGGGCGGGAAGGGGGCTGGGGGCACTCCCCTGGGTTCTGCGCTGCAGGCTGCCCTCACCTCCACCCCACACACTGCCTCCACCCGGTGACCCTGGCAGTGGGACTGGCGCCCTGAGACCCCGGCTGAGCACTGGCCCCTTGGACCCTGAAACTACCGCAGATCATCTGCTCTCCTCAGAGACATGGACCTTGCTCAGGCGTCCTCTGGGCCAGTCTCTGCTGCTCTCCATGCCAGAGGGCACACGGACAGCCCGCCCAGACAGCACGGAGGGGGCCCGGTCCCCATGGCAGTGTAGCACCCCCAGCTGAAAGAGGGCTTGGAGGCTTCCTCCTCTGCCATCCTCCCCTCGGAGTGTCAGGAGACGAAGCCTGCTCCTTCTAGACAAGCAGGCAGAGCCGCTCCCACCCATACTAAGGGCTCCAAAGCCTCAGGACAGCCCCAGGCAGCAGCTGTTTGGTTGCTGGGAGCAGGAAGGCCAGGGTTACCAGGACAGTCCCTAGGGTCTCACTGCTCCCCTCACCTGAGATGTAAGTGGGGATGTGGCAGCCTGGGGGTGGGTCACACGCTGGCATTCAGGGACACTTCCCTGTACAGGAGCCGTTCCCCTGGAAGCCTACGGGACTAGCTGGGCAATGGTGCCTCTGAGGGCCCATCGCCACACTGACGGGAACCCAGAAGCACACAGCCCCTGCAGAAACCACCCCAGATGAGCCTGTTCTGAAACCTCAGCCACACTTACAGGAAAACCTGAACCCCCGGGATCCCTCCAGAAAGGTCCGCTCAGCACATCCAACTTTGTTGTCCTGCTTTCCCCAAACATGACGCAGGGTCCTCGCCCCGGACAGCCCATCCCATCATCCACAGGCCCTCTCTTGGCCCCTTCACATGCCCATCAGTTCTCAGAACAGAGCGGGGACACCTGATTCCCTAAGCCCAGCGCTGACCGCCCCTGCTTAGCCCCAGGCCCTTGGATGCTACAGGCCCTCAGCATTTAGTGCCACCCATGGTGGAATGACAGTGCCGGCCTAGACTGAGTCACCCAGGAGGAGAGCTGCTTACCCTGTGGGGATGGGGTCTGGCCCCAGAGGGCAAGTGACAAAGCCAGGGGAGGCAGCGGACTTTGTCACAGCCCAGCCCTGCTGCTCAGAGATCTGTGTGTCCTCTGGTGGAGAGCAGCACAGACTGGCCCAGAGGACAGCTGAGCAGGGTCCATGTCTCCACAGAGACCAGATGTCCTGCACAGAACCACACTCAGGGGCCTGGAAGGCCGTGGAGGGGAGCCCAATCCTGGCCCTGCTTTAATAGCTCTGCTCTGGACCTGCCTGCTCCTGCCAGACAGACGGCTGCAGCCCAGAGACAGTGCTGCGGGCAGCAACTGCACCAGGGGCTTCAGGGTCCTTGGTGCACGGAGACGCAGCCTTGCCCCACGCCGGGTGTCGAAGCATCGCAGGTGATGACTCACGGCACACCACACCTCTCGTCACATTCCTGAGGTTGCCAGACTCCAAACTCCATGGAAC